CATAAAATACGTCCCTTCGAGATCAAAGCTCCGTATACTTCATGTAATGGAAAAGCAAAATGGGTCAATGGATGATGTCAGCATCCAGTCGTCTTCAAATCCCAACGCATCCGAGACGTTCTCGCTCATTGACCCGTAGGAATCGTCGTCTATACCTCCTGAGATATTGATGGCACCGTCTGCGTCGTGTCGTGGTTGGGACAAGGGTTTCGATTTGAGTCTGGAAATCATCTTGCTCAATCCTGTCGCGATGTAGCGGCACAAATGTCTTCGACTAGCTTGAACGCCTGACAGCAAGTCCACCACAGCCTGGACAAGCTCTAGGACCTGTCGTCTGTCAATGTTGAGCGACGCAGAATTCCAGCTCCACACAACCTTGAGCAGAAATACGGCGGCAAATGCTACCATGGTATGCTTGAACAAGGTCACACGCGCAACGGCATTGCGGATATCAGGCTCATGTAGAACTAAGTTCATGGTGGACATAGCAGAGGCAATAGCCGAGTTAGCCGCCTCCCTTCGATCAAGGGAGAATTGATGGTTTGGCGAGATAGCCCGCAGAGCAAGAGAGTTGAGTTGTAACTTGGCGAAATGGTAATGCAGTACAACACCTTTCGAAGGGTAAGTGCCAACGTAAGGGTTCGGCGCTGAATTGTCAGTTTGATCGCTGTTAATTTTGGTCTAGCAGCGGCGTCTCACCTATTCTAGGCTGCCATTTCATCCGCCACCCTTCCACCTCCAAGCAGAACGCTCTCAACGTATTGAAATCCTCCTCATTCAGCGGTTGTTGGCCGTCAGAACCAAAGGTGTGATACGCATTGGTCAGAGTAATGAACAGAGCCACTTGAGCCATCAGTCTCATATCCGCTGGCCCAGCCAAGGGGGTGCTCAAGAAGGATTCATAGCCTTTAATTGCGGCGTTATCATGTATGACCGGAGGGCGACCATATGCAATGCTATAGTGGTGGTCACAGACATAGAGGAGATACCATAACTGTGCTCGCTCGTATTGGTCTGGCTCGCCTCTTTGCATCTTGTGGAATGCTTGATGAAGATTAAGCTCGGTCGCAATCCGAACAGCTACACCAGAAAGTTTCCAGCTGAGGTCTGGGAGCCAAAAAGCACCGATGCAGAGAGCTCGAATATCATCCAGATTGTGGTCACGATAGATGATGGACCCGGAAACCAGGGAGACAAACTCGGAATAGCAGAATTCAAAGATCTCGTCTCCCTGAGGGAAGTGCAATGCTGCCACTGCCAGGATGGCTGCGCAGAGCAGCGAGGAAGATCTCCGGGCAGATTCGAGATCCCGATGGATAAGAGCAATCCCTCCCCACAAGATATGGTTCATGGTGGTGTCGAAGAATGAAAAGAGTTCCCTCGCGACATGGTGAGGAAGGGCGCCGCGAGAGATCAAATCGTCCTCCGGTGTCCTTGCAATTCTGTGCTGAGGCACGTCACTCCGGATATTCCTCAATTTGGTGACTTCGAACAAACTGCGCATGGGCGCAGAGACAAGTTCCTGCTCCGCGGTTGGCTCTTGAGATGTTTCCCGAGTTCTAATATCTCGGCTGTCTTTGACGGCAGTGGCAGCTGTGAAGCCCGCCTTGAGACGGTCGTAATCACCCAGCTCCGTAAGGCTTGCAGGGAATGAGGATAGTGGCGGCATTCCATTTTGCTGGAGGAGCTCTGTAACCGCAGCTTGGAGCTGGACGATGTTTGTGTCGGCCTCTTTCTTCCAGCTTAAGGGATTGTTCCATTAGAGTCAATCCTCACACAGCCAGCGGTGATGGAGCACATACTCTCTGTCATCTTCAATGATCCTCTCTAGCTTGTTACTGCTAACGCAACGATAGCCATACTTTTTACATCGTGCGCAGCTTGACTGTCCGGGAGACTGGTCACACCGGACCTTGTGTTTTTTACATTCTGTGCCTTTGTGACTATGAGCATTGTTACCCATTCTTTAGTTTTTCAAGAAACCGGAAAACACTCACAAGCACGGCTCTTGTAAGGAATCATCACTCGCCTGATACACAGAGCGACTCACTGAGATTCTGAGGGCCAAAGAACTCTGTTGCAGTGGGGGTATCTTCTCTCCCGAGTTGTTGGAGTTCGGACTGGCAGCGAGATATCCTAGAGAGTTGCCATCTGGCTCCGGAAGCTCGCCGTGATCGACGAAGGGAAGCCGTGATGATCCCTACCTGGAGCACCTAAGTATCAGTCTTGAATTCAGGCGAGAACGGATACCGGCTTTCTCTCTGAGCCCACATTGCGTGACAGGTTAGTATGTATCCACATGCGAAGTTGCCCATGCAGAAGTGCTTTTTGAACCAGCGTAGAGCCCCTTTAAGCCGGCATCGAAGCAGGGATTTTAGGCTAAGAGTGTCAATCGCAAGCCTTTTCAAGTTAGACAGCTCCAGCTCTTGCAGCAAACCTGCATCCACTAGATCCAGCGTTTACTCTCCCCATTGGTGCCACTCCGCATAATCCAACATGATGCTTACCGAGGTCGTTTGGAGAGAACATGCAGCATCGGCGAAAGTGCGAACAACCGCTCGGGGGTGGCTATTGTGATGGGGTTGGAGAGGGCATTGTGGTTACGCAAGAAGCCCGTAGCAGAACCACTCCAGTTAATTCTTCTAGTAGAAAGTTGCAGTGGAATCGACCTTCCCCACTCGAGGCAATTTTCCGGTGGCATGCACCATGACTATCTGTGTGTACATATGGAGTGGCTTTGCACTGCCAGGTAGGAGTCTGGAACTACTTGCCCCTGCACTGGCAGCAAAGAGTCAAGATGCCACTCAACGTGCCAATCGCCGTCTATGGGGACCGAAAACTGGGGGCTTTCAAACCGATATACAGATTCTTTGGGTGCGATGAACCCAACTATGTATATATGAAGGATGGCGAACGATTGATCCGGAAATTGGGCGACCTCGGAAGCGATCAGGTTTATTTTCGCGTCCACAACCAATTCACCACCGGCAAGGGAGTTCATGCATTGAAATGGGGAAGCACAAATGTCTACACCGAAGATGAAAAAGGCAATCCCATCTACGACTGGACCATCATCGACAAGATCTACGATACTTGGCTGTCTCGAAATGTCAAGCCCTACGTCCAGTTCGGTTTCATGCCAGAGGCGATGTCGACCAACCCCCATCCCTACCAGCACTCATGGACACCGAAGGCTTCATACAAAGAAGTCTTCACCGGCTGGACGTATCCTCCCAAGGATTACGAGAAGTGGGGAGAGCTGGTTTACCAGTGGACCAAACATGTGGTCGAGAAATACGGCAAAGCTGAAGCAGAGACTTGGTACTGGGAGACCTGGAACGAACCCAACATTGGCTACTGGCAAGGAACTCATGAAGAGTTCTGCAAACTCCACGATTACACTGTCGAGAACGTGCGAAAGGCACTCCCCACGGCGTTCGTCGGTGGCCCTGAGACGGCAGATGGTGGGCCAGAATACCTGCGGAAATTCTTCGAGCACTGCCTACGAGGAAAGAACCACGTCACCGGAAAGACGGGCTCTCCTCTCGATTTCACTTCATTTCATGCCAAAGGAAAGCCGGAGTTCATCGAGAAGTCGCAGCACGTTCGGATGAATGTTGGTCGACAGCTGCGTATCATTGATGAATCTTTTGGTGTCATTGCCTCGTTCCCAGAACTCAAAGAGAAGCCCATTGTCATTGGCGAATCTGATCCCGAAGGTGCCGCCGCCGCTCAGGGCCCACAGCTTGGCTATAGGAACGGGACCATGTATTCATCTTATACCGCAGCCAGTTTCATCCGGAAGCAAGACCTTGCGGCCAAGAACGGGGTAAATCTCGAAGGCGCTCTCACCTGGGCCTTCGAGTTTGAGGATCAACCGTACTTTGCCGGGTTCCGAGTCCTCGCAACCAACGACATTGACTTGCCTGTCCTCAATGTGTTCAGAATGTTTGCGAAGATGGTAGGATCCCGTCTCGAGACCAAAAGCGAAGCCCAAATCCCGCTGGAAAGCATTCTCCAGAACAGTGTGCGTGAAGGACCCGATGTCGGGGCTGCTGCAGCACTGGACAGAGACAAGCTAAGCGTCTTTGTATGGCATTACCATGATGATGACCTGCCGGGGGAGGTGGCCAAAGTGGACGTCTCTCTGCACGGACTGAAATGGAATCCACCCAGCGGGAGCAGCCTGAAGCATTACCGAATCGACGAGCATCACAGCAACGCGTATACAAAGTGGAAAGCGATGGGCTCTCCACAACAACCGTCTCAAGAGGAATATACGCAATTGTCCGAAGCTGCCAAACTGACTACATTGGAGGACCACGAGACTCAGATTGGCACGAGAGACTCCACTACAACTCTGTCATTCTCCCTTCCTCGGCAAGGAGTGTCTCTGATCGTGCTAGATGGAGTTTCTTAGAGCTGGGGTTACCTCCCGCATTATACCAAATAAGAGGACGAAATAAATCCCGTAGAGTTATTTGTCATTTGATCTTTAAAACAGCGGCCGATGACTGCTCCTCATGCAACTCTGGCTCAGAAGTTCCTGGCTGCGACCGGGAATATCACCATGAATTACGCCGAGAAATCAGTCCGCGAATCAATCGATAGATGATGTCAGCAAGCAACGATCACATCTCTCGACGGATCAAGAGAGAACCAGCTCGTCCAGTGATCCGGTGATCTCTGGTGCCTTGTGGTCCGGGCCTTGAGGTGTTTCCTGCGTTCGGTTTTCCTAAACTGGTTGGTATATTGGCACGGGGCCATTTCTCGCTACAATTGATCGTCCTCCACAATGCCCCATGCTTCTCGCTCGTCTTGAGAATGCTAATGGTGTCTTGCCAGCAAAGCAAACACAGATGCCGTGATGGCGCATGTCAAGACTTTATATACCTAGGACAAATCCTTTCGACGGATCGATTATTATGATGCTCATTTGCCTTGTCTTCCGTTTCCGAAGCTCTTGCCAATAGGTTGCTGTTGACGGCTGTTAGCGGACGATGGCCTCGTCAGACATCCTGGCCGAAGCACAGATCCGCTCCTTAGTGATACGAGAACGCTTCTATCGGGACGCCTGTCAGTGGAAAAAGCTGAGAGAATGCTATCACCCGGATGCGTCGCAAACCCTGGTGGACATTTCATGGTATGCACGAGCAGAGGCGGACCGAGGGTTTCCGTCCCACTGGTATGGGGGAACTGGATTAAATCTGCTAAATCATGTTTAGGTACCACGGGGATGCCGATGGCTTTGTTCGTCGCTCGGAAGAAATGGCCAAGGCCGGCACGTCGTCTTTGCACACTATACAACCAGCAGAGATCACACTCAACGGAGACAAGGCCTTTTCCCAGTCGGTCGGGACGATATCGACCAGGATGCAACGAGACAGCAAGGAATACGAGCTGATATCGAGATGTCGAATGCTGTCCAAGCTCCGCCTCGTCGGGCAATGGTGGTACATGCTCTCCATGGAGGTGATCTACTTGCAGGATTCCATCGTTCCAGTCATACCTGAATCCTTCACCTCGGACGCGGACTTTGCACGCGCGATATCAGGAAAGCGGAAGAGCTATCAACTCCTGGCGTGGGTCCTCGAGGAGCATGGACTGACCATCAACAACAAGCTTCCGGGTTCCGATGATAGGGAGAGCGTTGAGAAAGTGCTTGGAACGAACGAGGCATGGCTGTTTTCCTGATTTATAGATATTTTTGTCGTTGTGCTTCGCCTAGGTAGCCGGAGTCCCGGACGGTATGCATGTACTTGGAGCATCGTAGGGTCTCTTCGTCTGCGGTGTTGAGGTCTGGGTATTCAATGGCGCGGTGTGGGATTTTGTGTTGGCCTGGGACACGCAGACATTCTGGGTCTTGCTGTGCGTGCGTCATGGCCATGAGGCTGAGTACCTGGTAGATTGACCCCGCGATTCTTCACGTCGGCCCCGTCACGGCTTTCCCAGCCAATAGCAAATTAGAACGAAAAGATGTTCCGACCGTGGGGAATTTCACACGGCGTTGTTGTCATGCGTAGTATTGCTTCGTAGAGAGAATGCCAGTGGTCATCCGTGTGTTACAACAGATCTGAGAAGGAATCATAACAAGTTGGTCCACAGAGTCTCCGAGAAAAGCACCCCCAGTCCACCATCGGAAGTCTCGACGGGCAGCCCAAGAACAATGTCCTCGCCGTGCTGCAGAGCCGAAACTTCCTCGCCATCATCGGACATATCATCTTCAATGATGGAATCGCCTTCATCATAACCGAAGAACCCGTTCGAATAGCTCATCTGGAGCACCTCACCAAAGTCCTATCCGCAGCGTTTATCATGGCGCGGATATCTACGCCAGCATTAAGCCCTCGTGTCGATAGTCAAAGGTGAACAGCCAGAGTGCGCGGGATAGATCGTAGTTTCTCCATTGCTTTCGCTTGGGCGGGAGGCTCTCTCCCCCACTAATGATCAGTATGCCATGTAACTTGCGAGTTTCCGGCTTCGAGACCACAGTTTCTTCGAGTATCGTAGGGGGGCGAACCCAGTGCCGTGAAGCTATCAGAGCGTGGCCCGCTCCTCTCGACCACCATCACTGGTTCCATTACTCGTTCTATATGTCCTGACTCTTTCACCGACATTGTTTGCTATTTCTTGTAAACGGTCGTTCTCGGTCTGCAGCTCGGCATAGAGGTCCGGTGAGGAGTTTAGCGCCCCCAACACAACAATTTTCAGTATTAGATGGAAGAGACGCAAGAAAGACACTGAAATGGGCTCAGACACAGAAGGTCTCGTCTTCGTCTGAGCGAGTTCAAGGTCGGTGAGCCATGATTCTAACGAGGTCAGAAGGGCTGCTTTCTCAGGGAGTAGTCGAAGAGCGACTTCTGCCGCGTCGACTTGGGACACTTTGTCGAGGAATTCAAGGGTTGACGCAGCGATTCTTGTAAGTCCGGTCCGTATGTCGGGCGCAATTGTGCGAAGATTGCGAGCCTTAACAGGCTGTTCACAAGGCAAAATCACACGTGCAGACAAGGTCGTTCCGTTTCCGTCGACGGTTGTTGGAGGATCCGCGAATTTACATGGTGCAGCAAATAGCTTAATGATGAAAACATCCAAGAAGGGCAAATGATCATGGTGTGCTGGTACCAATTTGTTCGCCGCGACAAACCCTGGCCTTGCCCGGTGTTCGTGCATGATCCTGAGTCCTTGAATGATGTGTTGGGCCATGGCAGCGTAATTCTTCCGCACTTGCTCAATGCTGATGAAGATCTGACAGCATAGTAATGCCGACTTCAACCCTTTTGAGCCCAGAGACGACAAGTTAGATGCAAGACCCCCTAGTGCCATACTGTATTGCTGGACACCATGTTGGTAGCTGGGGTTCTGCTGCGCGACAGACGCGGGACCGTCTCCGAACGTCTCGAGATCCTCCCGAAGTGCTCTGAGAGACAAGACTGCGTGTCGTATAGGCGGATCAGTCAAGCTGGCTTGGAGAATTTGCCTGGCTTCTTCATCACAGCCTAGGTTCACGTCGAACATGGTTTTGGTTGAGAAGTAACGATTGAGGAGGTCGATGTCCTGAGGGGTGATCTCGGTCAAGGTGGGCCGGATGGGCTGTAAACAAGCGTCTGACTTGATTTTGCCCCCATGAACGCTGGTAATGGGTTGGCTGGTGAAGTTTCTGAAGGTAACTTCGTAGCCGTCGCAAGTACGGCCAGTATTGACACATTTCCGGCAAAATGGCCTATTTTCGTCGCACTTTATCTTGCGAGCTCTGTTGATTTGTTAGGCATAATCACTGCAGAGCTGGCTTTCCGTCTAAGTCCACGATCGGGGTCGTGTGGACCGACCAAGGGTCTTTCCGCTTTGACTGACCTGCAGGTTGCACAACCAGTTTTAGTCTTCGTTTTACAATGGACGTTCCGTCTGCGGACGACAACCCCCCCGGCCATCGCTGGGGTGAAAGCGGAGCATTCACGGTTGTCACACAACACCCTTCAGACGAGGGCAAGAGTCAGAGCAAGTAATGAATCCGAGCGGGCAAATTGGATGATACGGCATGATGCATTACGGGGAACATGAGGAAGCCGAGTTGGACGCTTTAAATAATCGAGGCCGGAGGAGGAGAAGGCGCTAGCCTGATTAGGTAGTAATAGCGAACCCACCAACCACACACCGCCTAGAAGAGTTTCATCTCTGAACCTTGCACACGCTACGGTCTGGCTGTGTTCCGCAGCCCGAGTATCGCGATAGACGCGAAGGCATCCAGGCTCTTTTGACACCGCCAGCTCCTGCTCTCGGTGAGATGTCTTGGGCCTATATAAGGCCGGCCCGGTCTCTCTCGAAATGAGTACTTACACAATGTCGAGGCTCACAAATAGCCCCGGATTCGTGTCGAAACTTCTGTCCACCTCGAAAATGCCGGCTTTCACTCTGTATGGCGCTCGCGGTTCGACCAACACCGATCGTGTCCGCCTGACTCTCGCCGAAGGTGGCTTTACGGATTACGAACTCGTGCTTCTCAACCTTCAAAAAGGAGAGCAAAAAGTGGGTGATACGTTCCTTCTGGAAGACGGTGCCGCTTGCTCTTGCGTGTGCAAAGGGTATCTCGCATCGAGCCTCAAACATTCTCCTTACGCTTTAAACATTTGTCCTCCTACCTATAAAGTTCGAGTATTGTGAAAGCTAACGCCGGTGCCACCAGTCCACAGAACACAAAAAACGTCACCCGTGGGGCAAAATACCCGTATTGGTTTCCACCGAAGGGTTCACTCTCTACGAGAGTCGCGCAATCTGCAAATACCTCGCGACGAAGTACTCATTTTCACTCTTGCCTCCCGAGTCCGACATTGAAGCTGTGGCGCTGTTCGACCAGGCGCAGAGCACAGAAATGCTCTACTTCGCAGAACCCGCCGGTAGAATTGCATTCGAGAAGTTTGCCAAAAAGTTCATGGGGCTACCGCCAGATGAGAACATTGTCTCAGACGCACTGCGGTCGGTCGAGATGTTTTTCGACGTTGCAGAACGCCTCCTACACCAGAAAGACTACATGGCCGGAGACGAGTTCACTCTCGTAGACATCTACTACATTCCGCTGATCCAAAGACTTTTCGCATGCGGGTACGGAGATATTATCCTCGGCCGCGAAGCTGTGAGTGCTTGGTGGGACCGTTGCCTGAGTCGGCCAGCTATACAGACGTTGTTGGCTGCTGACAAGAAGGCTGTGGCTGTTGCTGGTAAATAGGACCAAAAAGTTGACGTATCTAAACTCTTCCAATAACAGCAGCTTCCTCGAGACGGGATAGCCCAAATTAATTATTCATATGTCCTCATCTGATCTTGCTGCGCATTTCAGCCTGTTGTTTAAGATGGTTTAGGACAGCATGTCTGGAGAAGCCAGCTCATACTTTCCTAGGCTGCGATCAGTGAATTCCTACATAATTAGGAGATTCCTCTCATTTTCTCCAGCTGTAGTCTTTGCGGAGCGTCCTGGAGGAGCAGCAGGCCCTCAAATCGAACACTTAGACGGCAACAGTGCCATGATCCGTCACACCAGGGAGGTGGGCTCTATCGCGTCGTTGGCTGGTCCCACTTGCTTACAACTACTGCTAGCGTTAAAACGAACGAATTTGGGAATGTGTGCACTTCTCTAACAGGAGTTGCATTAGCTAGCGTAGCCACAACGCCTCCCATGAATGGAAAACTCGGGGCCAGCCACGGGACAAGTGCCGCTTACCATTGGATGAATGTGTGGAAACACTCTAGTAGGAATGCGATCGCAGCCACTAGCTAGAGCACCACCAGTTTCTATTCACTTTTCTTTCATAGTTCTTACCTCAAAGAAGTAGCCCAACCATTTCCAAATGGACATCAACACGGAAATATTCATATTAGGTTGCTCGAGGCCCTTTAGTAGCCGTCCCTAATTGGTCATCTGGTTCCTGTAGCTGCACTTCCTCTGCCAAAATGCAAAATCCCTACTGAAGAGTGACAGACACAGATCCTAGTATCTATGACAGTAGAAGCTTAAGAAACTGTGGCGGTACTCGACCTTCTGCGTTCCTTATCACCTCATTTTTTTCTACCCCATCCATTTGAGCTGTCTATTCTCTTAGGTACAAGTCCGAGCTCTGCCAGACACGAAAATATCAGTTTATCTCCGTTCCAACGTTGCCTTGCGTCGAACATTGCTGTGATGGCCGAACCACCGGGGTTGATTGCACATTCGGGTATCGAGCTTCTAACCTTCGGTCAGTGATATCTTCGTTGTCGCGCTCCTCCCCACAGATAGACATTGTCAGCTGGATGGCTCCAACAACAACTTACCATGGCCATCAGGAACACCTAATGGCATCAAGATCTCGATTCTCCTGGAAGAGCTCAAGGCCGCTTATGGCAAGGACTATACCTACCAAACCATAAACATCTTGAAGGACACGCAGAAGCAGCCATGGTACACGTCGCTCAATCCGAACGGCCGTATTCCTACCATTATCGATCACGACCGCGGTGGCCTGGCCGTATTCGAAGGGCTGGCCATTCTCTCATACCTGGCGCGTCACTACGACCCCGAATACAAATTCAGCTTCCCTCTCGACTCAGATGACTATACAATCTGCGAGCAGTGGATGGCGTGGCAGCACGGCGGCATTGGGCCGATGTAATCTACCCATCTTTACCCTGCTGTTTCCCAGAGATGTCCTGACAACAACTCGCTAACGACGTCGCTTTAGGCAGGGTCAAGCGGTCTACTTTGTCCACATAGCCAACGAAAAGGACGCGTTTGCTATTCAACGCTACGTCGGCGAGTCGGAACGACTTTACGGCATCCTGGACGCTCGTCTCCGAGACCGCGACTGGGTCGTGGGGCCCGGCCGGGGCAAGTTCTCCATCGCAGACATATCGCTTGCCGGGTGGGCCAACCTCATTCTGTACACCCACATCGACCTTTCCAAGTTCCACCACGTCGAGGCCTGGCTGGAGCGCCTGTACGCGAGGCCAGCCCTGCGGCGCGGTCTTGCCGTCCCCAGTGGCACGACCCCTCTAGTGGGCAACCAGACACTCAGGAGAAGGCTGCTCGAAGACGAAGAGTTCAGGGCAAAACACATGGCAACCGAGAAGCTTGTGCAAGAAGCTCAGAAGCAGTATGGCTACAAGTACTCGTCGCCTTGATACTGGAGAGGTCTCGAACATTCAGTCTGTCAGTCGATCCTTGGGCGTCCACCGTCCCCTATCTGTAATGTCGAAGATGACGGCGTGTTGCTGGGACATCAAAGAGAGGACAAGATCTCTGATCTTTTGCATTGTTCTGACAAAGTGCCGCGAAAGCGAGATATGGGGAACGAATAAACCCCTTGGAAGCTCCGTAGATCATAGATGGTGGACGATTCAGTCTCGAATCATTGTCGTATCGCCTTTTGATCTGAACACCTTAGACCTCACAGGTTGGGACACCGGGGCTCCAACGGTCCTGATGGTCACCAACGTCTGGCTTGCCATTCCTTAACGTCACCTCGTTATATCGAAGTAGCTTCAAAGGCTAGTGCTTGCAAATGGCGGAGCACGCTGGTTATCTGGGAAGAGATCTTCTTCGCCTCTCTGAGCTCGCCAGTAGTTCGTAGCGTCAAAGAGCTCCCAACAACCTTGGATGACCCAGCCCCAACGTTTCAGAAATTCTTCACCTATCTCCCAGTTGCGCGGATCCCATGGATCCCCCCAGACGATCAGACCCGACTGTTCGCCGGGGCTTCCGCAAATCTCTACCATGTCGTGGCACAATGCGTCCTCATCGAACGAGTCGCCCGCTTGCAAGATATTCTCCCTCATTCTCGGTATGGGGAAGAGGTCGATCCACGGATGGTGTTCGACGAGGTGCTGAAGCCCTGTTGGCCTGAGATACACGGGGCAAGTCGACGTTGACGACGAATCATCGCTCACACGGTTCGATCCCGCTTGTGAGAAGGGGGAGACGGCATCTCCGTCCAGCCACTCCAAAGTGAACCCAAGAGCGCGTGTGTTGTCCAAAAGAGCGCGGAAGACGTTGAACTTGACCAGTGTCAGGAGAAGATCGGTTCGCGGGGAGCCGAGGAGGTAGTGTTGATAGGTGGATTCCTCAAAGCGGGTCAACAAATCTCTCACCCCGGAAGGACTGAGGGTACAGATTGAAGTGACCTGTGTGAGGACTGGATTGGACAAGGTAGAGTTGTCGCGTCTTTGGTTTCGATCACTGGGCTGCTGGTGTAGCGTGGAGGGCTTCTGTGTGCTGACGGAGCCTAGGGTCTTCGTTTGCCGAGCCTGGCGACGTCCTGCCGAGCAGGGCGTTATCTTCAGCATCACTAGTGGGAGAAATTGTATAGGAAATCGTCCTACTTACTCCATGCTCGTTGGTGGAGGCGGTTCTGCAACTTCCGACGCTGTGCGGGATCGGTAAAGCCAGTCCAGTCCTCATCCAGCCGTCGCATTTCGACCTGCTGATTGAGGGGCAGAATGGTGGGTAACGAGATATGTTCGCCGCTCTGGTATACCTTTGCTGTCGTCATATTGCGCTTTCTCAAGCAACCACATATGCTGAGACGTTGGGCTGAAGCCGTGTTAGATGCTAGGTGAAGATTTGGGAGGGGATTGCCGATCCGATGACGTGACAAACGGCTGGTGGCGCCAGCGAATACGAGCACGGTGGGTTGTGCTGAAAGCTTCCCTCTCATGGCAGCCGATTGGCCTAGTGGACCTGATAGCTGGTGTCCAGATCTTGAAGCTGCAGGTTGCTTATGGCTTGCAGCAGGAGATCGTCTAATAACTTCGCCCCCATTTGTTCCATAACCTTGACTCGGTTCCACAGTCAGGATGGTGGCGGGTATCTGCTTGCTATCGACATGCCATATATTCGCCTAGGACTAAGGAACGGGTCAGCCGAGCAATTCACATGGTACGAACCGATAAAATGAACAGTAAATACCACGGCTTCAAAACCACCACACCGACACTCAAACATTGAAGCTCTGTCTTGCCAACATTCAAGATTCAGTCAGAGAAAATGCCTCAAATGGTCGTCTCGCGCGCTTCGCGCACCGGAAACCCCTCTGTTCACGGGCCTTCCACAATACCAAACGCCTTTAGCGGTGAAGTGTTCATTGACCCCGTCCTCGCGGCTGAAGGGATCTCAGTCGCCAACGTCAACTTTGCACCATGTGCCCGCACATATTGGCATACGCATGAAAAGGGCCAGTTACTCAGAGTTCTTGCTGGGTCGGGATGGGTCTGCGATAAGGACGGACAGCCGGTCAAGATCAACGTAGGAGACGTGGTGTGGTGTCCGCCCGGAACCACACACTGGCACGGGGCGGACGACCAGAGTTACATGGTACACCAAGCAACTTCATTCGGGGCTGTGCAATGGCACCAGGCAGTTCAAGATGAGGAGTATCGGAAAAAGCATACTTGAGTCTAGACGACAATCCATGGTGTCTACCGTACAAATACAGCCTTTAGTCGATATCTCATGAATGTTGCCGCTTTCACATTCACCACGCAACGAAGAAGTCAATGCCAATGGTTGTTAAAGGGATGCTGAGGATTCCACATTCAACTTGGGGCATGTCACAAAACCAGATACGAGTAGGCAGTTCGATTCACAATATGGCCACATCCTATAACAGTCGACTTTTTTGAGTGTCAATTGCACTCCAAACCGCTATTTTCCTCAAGACCGTGCCAAACCCGGCATATTTCAGCGAAAATCTGTTCCAAGACGCCTCTTTTCACACCGTGAAATCTCCTCATAACTGAGGGCTGCATCGCCCCATTGGTTCATCACTCAGTGTTGTGATGCCGAAGCCCGAAACCCACAAGAATGCCAACCAAGAATGCCAGCCCTAGTCTGACTTGAGCGGCTAAGGGCAGATCGTGTATCTTCGCAACTCTCAAGACCCAGCCAGAGCCTCCTGCGACCTCGCTTCTTTATTTTTTTCGGGTGGGCTATAGTATAGATAGTGGGCTCGTTCTCCATGCCACTCATTACCAGTCGCTATGGCAGCAAGTGCTGCACAGCGAAACACAGGTGGAGCGCGAAAGGGTGACGGTGACGACAATCCTGGCCGCCAGCGCGTCAACGATCGCTCAAGCCGTAGGAAACACCGTTCATCCCTTGGAATTGAACCTAGCTGAATGGCCACAGGAAAACGGCGCCGTTCTGCCGAAGACGAAGAAGAGGACGAAGACACAACTAAGCACCGCAGAAAGAGCCGAAGAATCCAGGAGAGCTGTCAGTTCCTTTCCCTCATACCACTTCATTGTGTGATTCCTGTGTCATTGACTATGGTACAGCCGACCAGCAGCGCCTGCTAAACCCGACAGTAAACTCCAGGACCACTCGCAAGAGCCTGCGATTACAGGAGAAACAAGCTGCGAACCAACAGCGATCTACAAGTGAAGGACAGACGAGGTCATCGCAGAAACTAGTAGTGAAGCAATACAATCATCGCAAAGACAAGGACAAAGACCCTGCAACCTCACCGGGCGACCCATGAGCACAAGAGAGCAGTCAGTTGTCGCCAGCACTTCAATGAATCGTATTGCTAATTCAAACAGCAAAACGGCGGCGTTGTGTGGATATCGGAGACGAACCACAACACGACGCGAAACGGCCGAGACGCGGGCTAGCACGACGCGCCGAAGCACGGATCGGACCCGATAAGGAGAACTTCATCGAGGATTGGTTGGATGAGTGCGGACGGTCTCGCAGAAACTCGACAGAAAACGGACCCCGACTCTCCGAGGCATCAGTCAACATGCCTCGTAAACCTGCCCCTGTACTTCCGTCCCCAGACAACAACTTTGAAAGCAGGACATCCACGTCCAGAAGGTCTGAGAAATCTGCTTTAAGTGTCTATGATACGGATTATCGGCAGTCCTTAGGTCACCGGAACATCTATATCCATCGTAACGAGCCTCCGGCGGAGCTGATGCAGCGAGCCAGAAGAATAATATCCCGTTCGCGAGCATCTCCGGAAATGGACGATGCTACAGCTCAAGGCTTGATAGCGACATCACGCAGGGTTGAGAATGAGAGTGAAGATGTTATTATCCAGCAGTTGGCCCCTGGTATCATTCCTGCGATGAATATGCTCCCCGATTCAAGGTTGGCATCGAATGCTAAACAACTGTGGTGCAATTCTGTCCCTGTCCCGCTCAACGCAAACGTGCTTGCTACGCCACTCCCCTTGCCAGAACCGAAACCTGATTTAGCTTTTGGATACTCCCAAGCTGCCTTCACAGAAAAACAGCTGATGACCATTGATCTTCTCGTCGACGACTCGTCCGGCCGAAGCTACGCCGTCACGGACCACAAGGTTCGATTTCCGTTTCTAGAGATCGAGTTCAAGTCCTAGGCCCAAAATGGAACCCACTATATCGGAACAAACTAGGCCGCTGGTGCTGGAGCGATCGCCATGAATGGCAATATGGATCTGATGCAGCGTAGCTTCGGAATGGAGAAATTCGACTACGACGAACCACAATATTTCTCCGTCACCATGGACCATCAATTCGCCTGTGTGAATGTACATTGGCTAAGCGCTCCCGCAGAAGGAGTACAACACAATTTCCACGTCGAAGGACTTGCACAGCACCTTCTAGGAGACGCAAATGGCATTCGAGCATTATCCCGAGCAATGAAGAACATCTTCGACCACTGTACAGAAACACCTGCGGACACTTTGCAGCGCCTTAGATGCATACCGGGAGACGGTCATTCGCAATAGAAACGTAGCAAATGCGCAGAGGGAACGGCAACGCGAGGATCCACTGTTGGCACAGCACTGAGTGAAAGCCTGACTGTCTGCTTGTACTTCAACCGATGTACGCTTCACCAGATGAGGGTTGAGGTCATAGTTGTTGCCTGTGCGTCGACCGTCATGGCGACCACCCTTCAAAACCCGTTGGTAAGCTTAGTACCTAGGCAGAAACTTGCGTCTTGTGGATGGGTGCACATCGACAGTCGGCGGCTTCGGTCGCCTCGTGAATCAACAGATCAGCGGTTTTCGTTGAGGACAAACATGTAGCCAAAGGCTTCAGCAAGCATGGCGGGGGTGGCTGTGGCTCACCAGCTGACAGGCGATTCGAGGGATGGAACAAGCAAACTTTCTGGCTAATGCAGTCTGCTTATGACCATTCCCTCATGGGAATCAGGGTCGCCACCCACAGTAGTGGCAGATGCATGAACATGATTTTGTGTGGTAGAATGGAACACGGATCCAACTCCTCATTGAACACTATTCAATTCGAGTGATTTGTACCGCATGCTCTGGCCTACTCAACAGAACCTACGTGGAAGGCGCTCGCAGTTGCAGCCCCGACGTTGGATTAGTGGCAAGACATATACGGTTTCTTCCCTCTCCTCAATGTCATTTCGTTGAGTATATATCATTGATACCGTCGCTGCTGAAGCACCGAGGCCATGTCATTGGAGATACTGGGCTAAGAACTATACGTACTATTGCAGACATCACCATGTCATTCTTTGCCGCCCCCCCGAAACCACAAACGCCGCTAGGATACCACCGTATCCTATCCCCCACAGCATCGATCAAAGTCTCTCCGCTGTGTCTGGGCGGCATCAGCATAGGCAGCTCCTGGAGCGAGGTGTTCGGGAGAAACGAAGATCCGTTTGACCTCCTGGATGCCTTCTTTTCTCTGGGAGGCAATTTCATCGACACATCCAACACCTACAACGCGGAGGAGTCGGAGAGACTGATCGGCGAATGGATGGAGTTGCGAAAGAACAGAGACCAAATGGTGATCGCCACAAAGTACTCGGCCGGGTATCGGGCATACATGCGGGACGAGGAGCCGCTGCAGAGCAATTTCACCGGAAATTCGGCCAAGAGCATGTACATCTCGACCAGGGACAGCTTGCGGAAGCTGCGGACGGACTATGTCGACATCCTCTACGTGCACTGGTGCGCCGCGAGGCCCCTTCTCATCGCCCACGAGGCTGGTATTGACTGTGCGTAGGTGGGATTTCGCAACCTCGGTGGAAGAGGTCATGACCCATCTCCACGCTCTTGTCATGGCAAGGCAAGTCCTCTACCTAGGCGTGTCAGATACCCCGGCGTGGATTGTGGTCAAAGCCAATGCGTGTAAGTGCTACCGGCTTGTTGTCTGGCTGGGTCAGTGATCTTAACGCATCCTCATAGACGCCCGCAGCCATGGCCTTACTCCCTTCTCGGTGTACCAAGGACGATGGAATGCCGCATTCAGAGACATGGAGGCAGAGATTATTCCCATGTGTGAGGACCAAGGCATGGCAGTCGTCCCCTGGGCGGCGTTAGGCGGCGGTCAATTAATATCGGCTGAACAAAGAAAGCAACAGGAGCAAGATCCCGATGCCCGACAAGGGTACGGCTTGCGAGAGGCGGACGTCAAGGTCTGCGAGGCATTGGAGAAGATTGCGGAGGGCAAGGCGACCACGTTGCAGGCTGTGGTATGGCACTCCGGTGGACCCGCGTATTCAGCATCGACAGAATGCTAACTTACAGTCCAGGCTCTTGCGTATCTGTTCCAGCAGTCGACCTACGTCTTCCCGATCGTTGGCGTCCAAACCGTCGAGCATGTCCAAGCCATGCCGGAAGCGCTGCACGTCAGGCTCTCCGAGGACGACATCAAGACGATCCAGAACGCATACCCCTTCGACCCCCTCTTTCCGATGAACTTTCTCTTCAATTTTAGAGGTGACCAGCCGTACAGTCTCGCTCTCACCGCCGCACACAACCAGCAGTATCAAATGGCTGCCTGGATCAACGCTCCGCCAAAACAGCCAGTGAGTGCAGTTTCAGTTTGGCAACCTTTGCGCCTCAAAGGGTATCGTGCTAACGCACTGACAGCCGTACCAACCCTAAGGATTCCGTTGACAGCACGGGATGCGCGAAGCAACGCTTTAGCTCTGGCTGCACTATCGCAAGCTCTCCTTTGGGCCGGGAGAAAGGAGGGCGGCGAGATCGAGGACGATAGCTGAAGCAATCAGTCATGCTCGCAGCAACGAGACATGACGCCTGGAGAATAATGCTGGCGGCGAGCGGGATTTTAGTACCGCGTCGTATTTTGATATCTATAATCGCGGCCGGGTATGAGGTATCCCATTCTTTTCTGGTTCTTCTTCTTCTCCGCTCTGGCTTGTTGGCGGTTCAAATTCGGATCCGAAGCTCGTTGTTTCCGGTGGGTGATTTTATGAAATAGTTATGAGCCTCTTTCCGCTCCCATTCTGTCCTCTGGGTGATCTTCCAGGGCTGAGCCACCGGTGATTGATCGCCAGACTGTTGCCGTGGGAGTTTGATGTTCGTTGTCAGTTCCTCCGAGTCAGGAACGTTCCATGGACTCGCCCAAGCCCACGAGGAGCATAGCTCCCGCCAGCCCCGCTCCGATACGAGCCAGTCAGACCCCGTGCTGGCCAGGCGATTGATATCCACAGGAGATAGCATATGTCAGCCTCTGCGTGTCAACCCGTTCCTCGAGAGGTTTTCGTCCCATCCGCTAGAGCTGCCCCGACACCTCAGAACCGAGGTCTCGACCACTAGCCATGTCCACGCTTGACGTGGGGTACATACGGGGGTTCACTGTCCATCTGTGCTGGATCGATGATAGCTAGAAGCTTCTTGGGATTATTTGTTTATTTCGGAATTTGGAGTGCACATGTTTTTTTTTTTTCTTTTGCGCATTTGCGGGTTTGGGCCAACAGCTTCAATCCAGCCAGCACTTGTCCCCAGCGAATGCTCTTCTCGAATCCCACGGTGCCTGCAGAGTGACCTGAACTGATAAAGTAGATACCACGGTCGGTTCGAGATGCCGTACCACGGATCGAAGCTGGAAACAGGTAAGGAGCACTGCAGTGCCCAGCTTGGTGGAACGTGGCGCTGATCGTTCTCTGCAGCAATACCTGAAGATGTGACTATCTGGTCATGGCTGTTTGAAACCTCGCATTCACCTGCAGGAGCGAGGCCATCGGGGGGCTTCCGTGATGCATCGACCGACCAGTTCCTCTCCTTCGACGACATTCGGCGCCTTGCGACTCGCCTGTCTGCCATCCTGTACCACAAATACGGCCTGCGCGCCGGGGACGGTGTGTGTGTGTTCTCTTCGAACACGATATGGTACCCCGTCGCAATGTTCGCGGCGGTCCGGCTAGGGGTCGTGTTTACAGGTTCCTCACCGGAATATGGCCCGGAGGAAGCCGGCTATATCATGAAGGCGTCGAGGGCCAAGCTGGTATTTGCGGATCCGGGTTCACTCAAAGCGGTCTCGCAGTGTTTTGAGACGGACCGGATTGTCCTTCTGGAGCCTGCTGAGGCATCTGGCCCGCTGCCTTCAGTCAAGAGGTTGCTCGACGAATCAGACTCTAGCAGCGCTCCAGCGCCTTTCGTAATTCCTGCAGGGAAGAAAAACGGCGAGGTCTGCGCGTACTTGAGTTTCACCTCTGGGACGACAAGCCGGCCAAAGGGGGTAAGCATGCTGGCCCTTGATCGGACCATGCAACCGCTGACTCTCTGCAGGTCATGATATCTCACAAGAATGTGATCGCCCAGGTCATGCAAATGAAGTCACTTGGCCGGGAAGATCTTCCGAGGGTTCTGCTGGGCGTTTTGCCTCTGTTCCACAGTAAGTCCCGTCTCCGATGGTATTCGTGCAGGACGCGACTAACCCCGTAATAGTCACCGGGCTCGTTCAGATCCTGCAATTGCCAATCGTTATCGACCAAGAGGTCATCCTGATGCCAAAGTTTGACATGAAGGGGATGATGGACACAATAACCAAGTACAAATGCGATGAACTGTGGCTGGTACCACGTAAGGCCCCATTTCCCGTCGCCATTTGCAGTATACCAGCTCATCTCACTCTTCTACCAATAGCTCTTCTCATCCGGTTGGTCAATGACCCTGTCGCGGCTGGCCACAACTTGCCTTTGGTCAAGCAATTCAACACCGGGGCTGCGCCTCTCGCGCAGGAGATCGTGGACAAACTTGCGAAGCGATTTGCACACATCGCGATACGGCAAGCCTGGGGAATGACTGAGAGCACCAGCGCCCTGACCTTGACACCACCGGCATTGCAAACGTATGAGAATGCTCACACAGTCGGCGCCGTCGTCCCGGAAACGGTGCTGAAGATAGTGGATCCCGACACCGGAAAGGAAGTCCAAGAAGGCGAGAGCGGAGAGGTAAGAGGACGATGCACCAGGACCGTCATTTCTTCAACAATGTCGTGCTCATCGTCGTGCAGATCTGGGCCAGAGGCCCTCAGGTAACGATGGGCTACCTTGATAATCCAAGCGCCACGGCAGAGACATACGATGAAGAAGGATTTCTCCACACCGGTGACATCGGCTCCATGCTCCCGAATGGTCTGCTTCTGGTCCAAGACAGGCTCAAAGAGATGATCAAGGTATGTACGAGCCATCTGAGGGAAGGCAAGGTAGCTGACACCGCGCAGGTCAAAGGCGTAGGAGTGGCTCCAGCCGAACTGGAAGATCTCTTGCTTGGTCATCCGCTGATCGTGGACGTTGCTGTCATCGGAATCCCCGACCCATACTCTGGAGAGTTGCCGAAGGCGTTCGTCGTGCTAAGCGACAAGGCCAAACCTGACCCCCAGACGGCGCAGGAACTGCAAGAGTTCGTGCGCCAAAAGAAAAGCAGGAGCAAGTGGCTCGGTGGTGGGGTGGAGTTCGTCCCCCAGATCCCCAAGAGTGCGTCTGGCAAGATTCTGCGCCGAATGCTGAGAGACCAAGAAAGAGCTCGTGCAAAGGCGTCCACGGTCAGAAGTCGGCTGTAGCCCTTTGCGGCGTTTATGCTTTGGCCGAAACAGCCACGCCTTCTGTGTCCGCTTTGCGAAAGCTCGAGGGTAAGTAGACTGGTGTTCGAATGACACATGTGCACTAGCAGCGCTGCTCAAGGCGTCGATTGCTTCGGTTGGTTCACTTGGCAGAGTTACAGCTTCGCATACAGGCACGGCCACTCACTTGGATGCTTCTTGGGAGGGCTATCATCTTGATCACAGGAGGACGATCAGCGAAGGTATAATACATTAGGTGCTTAGATTGCCGCTGAGGCTGTGCTACAATGCTCAAAGCCTGACGACTCCACGGACCCTAATTGGACAGGACACCAGCGTTTTGAAGGACTTTGACTTACATCTCGTGGCATGAAACTGGCGAGTGCTGTGAAGCAAGGGCTCGCCGTTTCCGTTTCGATACCTCTACCGTTAGTTAACAATAGCCTCATGTCAAATTAACAGACAGTCTCCCCCATGATCCATTTTCTGCTATTGACGCGCCGCATATTACAGTTGCGACCGAAAATCCAAGACATTGGTGATTGGGCCGAACACCAAGTTGTTACGTGGGCGGGATCTTGAATGCCATGATCTCTGTTTGGCAAATCACAACCAACGCCTAGAGGCGAGTTTACATCAGCCCAAACCCCGTGACAGCGACGCAACACGAGCAAGCAGGGATCGTGATTCATCGAATCAATCGAGCAAACTCGTGTATGCACAAACAGCTGAAAACCCATGACCAATAAGCCACGCGCTCCAGGAGGCAGCAGGCAGCTATTCGCCGTCCCAGGATGCCTGATCTCTATTGTGCTAGAAGGTCGCCAGGCAGTCTCCATAAATACTCAGAGAAACACACCACCATCCTGCCCGTGATAACCAGCTCTTATCCTATGGAATGGCGACTACCGGCGGGCAACATCTATACCAATACAGCCCGCTTCCCGGCGCAAGATGGACTCGCGTAATCAAGCTCCAGGCTGGCGAATTCCGCGACCCCCTCAAATGCTCGATCCATCCTATCGACCTCGATTCGGCGCATGAGCCGTATGTTGCCCTTTCGTATCGCTGGGGTCAGAAAGCCAACACTATCCTATGCGACGGGCAGACCGTGACCGCCAACGACAAGCTCTACGAGGCCATGCAGCGACTGCGTGAAAGAAAAGCCGACGTCACCTTCTGGGCCGATGCCATCTCCATCAACCAGGCTGGATCCCCCGAAGGACTGGCGGAGAAGTCGCAGCAGGTCCAGCTGATGAGCGTGATCTTCAGCCAGGCAACCACGGTCGTCGCTGATCTGGGCTACGCTACCATGGAAATGATGGCTGGCCTTGATGAACTCTTGGGAAAGCTCTATTCCCTGCCACTCAATCAGACAGGCTCAGATTTGGTCCTGGGCCCCGGGTTTCAGGAGCTGGGCCTGCCCGGGATCGGCGACCCGGCATGGTCCATGTTGGATGAGCTGATACGGCGTGAATGGTTCAACCGCGTGTGGATGATCCAGGAATTTGCGTTGGCCCGCAGACTGAAGATGAGGGTAGGGACGCGTCTGTTCGACTTTTCGCTGATTGAAAAGGCGAGTCGGGTCTACCGTCGCATGCAGCCGCCATGGGACGTGATGGCAGCCATGGGGCCCAACTGGGCTAGAAGCACAAGGGGACTGGAGCTCATGATCCTCGTACGTGATCTTTACAAGAGCGTGAGGCCGTCTCCGCTCGTCGACTTGTTCGGCATGTCCTCGAATTTCGCAGCCACAGACCCGCGAGATCGCATCTACGCGCTCACCGGGCTCGTCAAGAATCCTGCTGGCGCAGACACGGAACCATTCAAGATCGACTACGCCGAGTCCACCCACCAGGTGGCAATTCGCTTTGCAAGGCACCTGGCCCATGCCCGGCCGCCCTCGTTGATCTGGATGTACGCAGGCGGCCCGCATCCCCATCAGCCATCGTGGGCTCCAAACCTCGAATCCGACCGACAGAGGATGCCCTCTGAGGGCATGATGCCAACCTGGCAGGCAGCTCCTCATAACCCCTTCAGCGCTGGCGGAACAGATGGGTCGATGGACCCACCCACCTTCACGGATGACAACGTGACGCCCGTTCTGACGGCTTACGGCCGAGTCGTCGACACTATCAGCGCGGTCACGGAGATATTCGACATTGGCGAGCAACCGACAGCGACTCTGCAGTCCCGCGGTGAGAGCCTCATCGATTTCGAACAAGGTGCTCGCCGACTCTTAGTCGAGCACGGCCTCCCGGCTCCGTTTCGCCCAAGCGACCTAACAGTATACGACCCATACTGGCTCAGCCTGGTCGGCGGCACGGACGAGACGTTCACCGGGCGTGCCGGCTCCGATGTGCGCGACAGTTTCATCGCGTTTGCCAGCGCAGGCGACGACATCTCGTCGGGCCGCGAGTCCGGCGACATCGACGACCGGCCCGATAAGATCGCCCAGGTGCTGAGGATGTACAAATTCATGAGTGCTTTCGGCGCGGCCATGTTCCAACGGCGGCTCTGTGTGACGGAGCGCAGACGAGTCGGGAACGTTGTGGCCGCCGCGAAGGCCGGGGACCGCGTGGTCGTCATCCGGGGCGTCGACCGGCCGGTGCTCATGCGCGAGGTGGCCGTCGAGGACGGTCCTCCCTCTGGAGCGGTCCATCAACCCCTCCTACAGTTCATCGGCATGGCGTACGTCCATGGTATCATGGAAGGTGAGGCGCACAGGGAGACGGAGCTTAAGATGGACCAAATCTTTGTTGTCTAGAGGAAGAAGGAGAAGCTTCTTAGCGTCATAGGAGGGTGCGGGGATGATTAACATGAAGACCGGTTTTGTTAGGAGAGGGTCAGAACTTGGATTGTCTACACTTCTGATCAGTCCCAGCTGTACATCTGGTCTTCATGTGTGCGCAGCGATGCACATGAACAGCGTCGAAAGATCCTTCAATGCTCCGGAATGGAGGAGACGTGTCGTTCTGAATGTCAGTCAGGCCCATGGGATTCGATTATTCATCTCAAAAGTGCTTTAACATGTTCTTAGTCCTACCATTCCTTCTGTAAAGGCCATGAAAGCGGAAGCGGGAGACAGATCGACTCAGAGTTCAAGCAGCATCAATCATAGGTGCCACACATCACGCTCTCCGGCTTGGGGCTGCAGGATCTCTTCACCCGGATGGCATCCTACTGCCCTTTCTTTCGCTTACCAACGGAATTAGACAGATATATGTAGTGTGATTACTGGCATCCGCCTTGACCTAGTCCGGAATGAGGAATATTTGAGAGCCGCTCTCACTGTATCCAATCGTGGGCATGGGATGTGGGTCGCCCTTTGTATAGTGACTTTTCCTGGCTCCATCTATTGATATCCCTGTCGGATCAACAAGCAAGAGGGGGACAAACGGCGTATCCGACGACCATTCTCTTGCGCCCAGTCTGCCCCGTTCTCAGAGGATGGCTGTGTGCTTAGAAATCGAAGTATCCACGGATTTTTGGCAAGGTTCCCCTCTTTCTAGAGAGTGGAAGATGTACTTAAAGGACGACTAGGTCCGCGAGGAAAATGTATATCTTCAAATCCTCTAACAGCAAGGTCAGAGTCTCTGGAGACACTGCTCTACATCTGAAGAAATGGCCGCTCGCAATCAAGCAGCCTGGTTGAAAAGCAAAGGTGCACCTGACCTCGTGGTTGCCGAAGCTCCATACAGCCACCCATCCGCCGATGAGATTGTCATTCGGAACAAGGCCGTCGGCATCAACCCGGGCGAGATCTCTGTGCAGAAGCTCCGTGTGCGCGTCATTGGATACCCGAGCATCTTGGGATCGGAAGTTGCTGGTGTCGTCGAAGAAGTCGGTGCGGCTCTGGCGTCGGTGTTTCAGCCGGGAGACCGCGTCTTCGGCAGAGCTAATCGAATGGTCGCCAACAAGTACGCCGGGTACCAGAAATACGTCGTCCTACGGCCCCCATTGCTAGCCAAGATCCCAGATCACATCAAGTTCACAGAGGCTGTGGTCCTGCCAGTCGGTATGACAACCGCTGCTTCGTGCCTGTTCGAGAGCGCCACCTTGGGGCTTGAAATGCCGCCTGGAAGCGGAGGTCAAGGCAAGACGTTATTGATCTGGGGCGCCAGCAGCGCTATCGGGCTCGCTGGTGTGCAGCTGGCGGTCGCTGCAGGTTATGAAGTATACGGCATTTCAAGTCGACACAATCACGAACTAGTCAAGTCTGTTGGAGCGATCAGCTGCTATGACCGTCACAGTGGCAGTGTCGTGGATGAGATTGTGGCCGATCTGAGGGGCAAAGATGTTGTCGGAGCGTATGACGCCATATCACAGAAGGAAACAACGATTGCCCTCTGTGACATACTCCACAGGAGTGGAGGTAGAAAGCTAATTGCAGCTGTTCTGCCTGTGCAAGACCATGTCAAACACGACGTGGTGATCAGAACGAACTTCGAAGTGAATGTCGAAAAGTCCGGGGTTGGCCAGCATATCTGGCAGAACTTTCTTGAGCCTGGACTGGCATCTGGGGTTATTCAGTGCAAGCCCGATGCGGACATCATTGGATCCAGTCTGAGCGACATTCAGAAAGGTCTCAACCTGCTAGCCCAAGGCGTCAGTGCGAAGAAGATCGTGGTGACCTTGGACGAATAGTATAGGTAGATTTCAGATCGAAATGACCATTTTCACTTCCCGATCTCAATTCACTCGTGCATCTCGCGTCTCAAAAGCCTCGATGATTGTCTGTCGTTCCTTTCTCGCCCAGTTCAAGTAGACAGAATAGTCCATAGAAATAGCATCGGGTATCTCCATGGATATCAAAGCTCTCCGTAGATCATTTTCGAGTCGCGTCAAGACTTTTTGAAGAAGCCACGCACCCCTCTTTGATTCTAGGCATTGCTGAACTGTAGCTTGTGGCATCCTCACTGCTACATGAGGTGCCGTCTCGACATGTTGATCTGCCGGTTGGTGCCATTTTGCCAACATTGAAACCTCCGCTGCCACAATACAATCCACCGCATCTCTGGCATAATCAAATTGCCCGCCCGAACGGTCCGGAGTCTTTGTTCTCGCGTTCAACTCTTGCATCAGCTGAATAGTCTCAAACCGCAGCAGGTAGTACTGAGTGAAAAGGTATGCAATATCTTGAGAAGGATAATAGTGTTGGAAGCGGGCGGCTTTGTGAGCTCTCCAGTCTTTCGGTGCTTGACACTCCCACAGAGATAAATGACCAAGAAGTCGTATTAGTCTCTCTCGCATGATTTGGACGAATTCGGGGTGATAGAAGCCACTTCTCCGATCGAGCTCGGTTCGGAGAGCTACAACGCTGATAGCGTGGGCATCGAGTTGCATTGCAGGGGTATAAGATTGACCAAGCCGCTCGATATCGGCCTGAATCTCCCACAAGTCCCAATTGACTGTTCTTTCTGCGTCATTTAGTGCCAAATTGATCGCATTATTTCGGACGGCAGCCAACAGCGTAAGTGCATTGTCGTTTCTGAAATTGAGGCTTCCTCGCTTCCTGATGAGAGCTTCAGCTCCACTCTGATGTGATGCGGGAGGAAGCATGGTCGCTTCCGGTCTACGACCAAAGAGATACTCTCCAAATTGAAGGATCATAACGGCACTCAGAGTCTCATCTTCAAGGCTCGCTAGGGGATCTGCGATCGCTCGGCGGACACTTTTGATAACCCTTGCCAAAAGCCCACGTTCCAAAGCATACGGTTTGCCCCTAGAGCAGGTTCCCATCATGTAGATAGCAAGCCACGACACAGCATAGACAAGCGGGGAGTCATTGGAGACTGCGTGATAGAGCGGCATTATCAGTTCAAAGTGACCGTGACTTGCTCGCCAATCTCTCCCTGGGGTAAAAATTGTTGATGCAAAGAGGAAGCCAAGAGCCTGCGCTTCTAGACATGGCATCATCCTTTTGGGTGGTGAGAGTAGTTGCCGTGACTCATCCCTCGGCAGACGCAAAGCCGTGCTTGGATTTCGTGTCTGAAAGCGTGCCTTGACAGACGCGGTCTGGTCGCGGAGCACAATATCAATCGGATGCGAGTAGCCAGGACAATCGAAGCCCAATCTGTAGCATTGCCGGCATTGTGGTACCGTAAGATCACACTTGCATAGAGACATTAGTGGTTAGTCATCGGCGTATCTGCCAGATCGTGAATCTACCTTGACATGGCGGTCTTTGCACCTTCGACACCCTCTCGCAGGACCACGATGAACCATGTTCGTTGTCAAGAGAGCCGCGCAGATTCGGAGCCCGGCGTCACCGTACCAAACAGTTGATCAACGAGGAGCGGTTCAGCGGATAGGAATTCAAGAGAGGTTGAAGTCGACATCAACAACATCACCAAGGAGAATTGAGCATGGCTCTTGAGAGACTGGAAGTCTGCAACACAATGCTGGGGAGATCAGAGGAAGGAAGGCTGACAATTGTGAAATATTCGGTACCGGGCATGTGAAATGCCAACCTTATTGCAAAAATTACCGGATTTGGATATGCTTATTTGTAAGCTAGAATCACCATCGATTCCTAGTACTGGCTGGATGTCTTCTTGGCATCGGCCTTGATGCAAGGGCCCGACTGCGGGGCTCGCGGCGCCACAAGGCTATCCTCTCCGTATCCCCCACATGTACTCCGTACGACAGACTCCAACTCCAGGTTTACCGAGGACGGGGAGATCTACCTCCAAGTCCCGAAGCCCCCCGCCCACCCTGCGGTACCCAGATTATGAGTGAGCAAGAAGAGCGGTCACTGTCAGCTTGAAGCCATGTTTGAGCAAAGACGATCATTTGCACATTTTACAAGAGGCACAAACCTTTCGAGCGAACGTTGCTGCCACCCTATCATCAAACAGTTGCCGCCATGAAGAAGCTTCTGATTATGTTGTTGAAACATCCCTTACGAGGTCTTATCTTTTCATATTCCTTCTTGGTCCAGATCTTGCTCTTACTCCTCCGACGAGCCTTGCTTCCACACTTCCCGGTATATCAGTCTCTCCGGATCCAAATCCAACGAGCCTATATGGGATCGGCCTCTCTAACCTTCCCCGACCTGACGCACAGGCTTCCAGTGGGCAAATTGTCCCTCCACCGAGCTCGCAAGATAGAGGGATCGATTCCAGCCTATTTGATTCCTGGCTCTCGGGAGCTTGCTGAATTTGTGGTACCGATACCGAAACGACAACAATGTGTGGTGATATATGCGCATGGCGGTGGCTACGCGCGCGGTGAAGCCAGAATGTACATCAATTACATGGAGCGGTGGATCCGGGAGGCTTCCAAAGCGAACCTGGACCTCCTTTTTGTCAGCGTTGAATATCGTATGCCTCTCCGTCGCAACGGCATCTGAATCAAGTTGACATGCCGCACAGCATTGTCCGTGAACGAGACTCATCCCGCACAAAAGAATGCGTTTCTCCAAGTCTACAGATATGTCCTCGACCAGAATGTGCGGCCGGAGCGCATTGTTTTTATGGGCGATTCAGCTGGAGGTGCGACTTCAATGCCTGGACTCTAACGTTGGTGCCTGTACTGATTTACTCGACTAGGTTCACTAAGCCTTCTTGCACAATTGGATCTGAAAGCTCTCGACCTCCCACAGCCTGCGGCCACAATCCTGATATCGCCGTGGCTCGACATGAACTGCAAGATATATCAAGGAGGGAATGGTGCTGTCGAAACTGACTACTTCATGATCGCGAACGAAGCTGTTCCGGCACTCGCTAAGCTATTTGTCGGCGATATTCCCCCTGACTCGCCACAGGTCAATCCACTTCATCATAAGCCGGGAGCGCTCGAGGGACTGAGCCCCCAGCTGATCTTCACTGGGGGGGCTGAATTTGCTCGTTACGACTCTGAGAAATGGGCTGAGCTATGTCGCGCCGCAGGGGTGGAGTGCAAATTGATTATCGAATGGGCCCAATTGCACATCTATGCAGTGGGGTCGAAGTTCACAGATCCCGCCGTCCGCAGGAAAACCGATGGCATGATTATCCAGTGGATGAAGGATCATGTTCAAGCGTGAAGAGGAAACAAACGATAATTCCACATCCATGAAAGGTTGAACTCGGTTCCACCACTAGAAATATCTGGACTTCTTGGAGAATATCTAGGCCATCAGCGTCATAGAGGAGTTCTGGGTTCCTTGAATGAGCGTATCATACGGAATGTTGCGCGGAGAGATGGAACTGCATCCCCGACAACGAGTCCACATTGGCTGCCACGGCTTGGCCAACTAGCCAGGAACATACAAACGTCTCGAACGGAAGGATTGCGAGATCGGGCTATACCATGTACTACCACAACGAAGCAGTGGAACTTTGATGTGAAGTGGAAGTCAAGCTGAGCAGAAATCTAGACCTTAACCCACCTCAAGCATCCCAGACCTTCGCAAAACGGAGTCCTTATTGCTATAATTTTGACTTCTGGTCTACCAAATTGATGCTGGCTTTGTTGTGTTCTGCTACCGAAAGCAACAGACCCGTCCGCTTGTCTTTCATCTCGCCACGAATCGTGGACAAACGGGCCCCTTGCTGCAAGACCTCACACTCTATAACCAGGTCCATGTTCTGCCGGACGGGTCGAAGGTATGTGATCAGCAGCGTCCTGGATACGCCTCCGAACCACCAAAAGTCTCTCCTCGCCAAAGGCGCGGCGGTCATCGTCGTGCACATGTCGTGGATCATCGCAACCGCTCCGCCATGCATGTTGCCCATGCGGTTTGAGAAGAGAGGCGCGGCTTTCATCTCGAACACGGCCGTTGCCTTTCCTGGCGTAGTAGAGGCGCTGACAACAGCGATGTGCTCGCGCATGAAGGCTTGATCAAACGTCTAGAGGACCGGGGAGAGTTAGGAGAGACCAGATCTCAAGGCAAGACTCTGTATTTTCGGTAAGGTACCTGCAAATGGGCCGACTCTGAGCTTCGAAATTCTTCAATGTACGCCGCTATTCTTTCTTTAGGATCTGGAATTGTTATGTCGAATAGCGTTCCGGGCGTCCTCAGAAAGTCTGTCGTGTAGCGCTCGGCCTCCGGAGCCTTGGGATCTGCCATCGCCGACTTTCGCAGGAGGGGGCGCGTCTCAGAAAAGAAAGAGCATACAGCTGTCTCCAGAAGGAATCTATAACATTCTGGATGGTGCGGGAACAAATAAAGCCTTGATGGTGTCTAAAAAGAGATCAGCTCTACGATCTAGCAGTTCCTGATATAAAAGTCGCGTCCTGTCAGCTTCTTACCATGTGCATCGCGATACCCGGCGAGCCGGCTAGTATGAGCTGAAAGAGCCGAGGCAAGGGCCGCAAAGGCTAAACATAGTGGTTGAGCATCCATCGGTTCTCTTAGCAAACTCGATACCAGCTAGCGAAAGGCCATGAGAAAGGGCTGCGCCGCCCAGAGTGGCACTGTAGCAGAACCGATGAAAACTTCACTTGACTCTGACCAGCGCCGAAAACGTTTGGTGCATGGTCGCTAGGCCCGTATACAGCCTGGTAGCCAGAGATCGGCGCCGAGAATGAGGCCGAAGCCGAAACCACCACTCCAACACCAACGTCATATTCTTGAGGTGCTGACTTTATGTATTGTGACAACTGCCTTTGTCTCTGGTATGATCCCAGTATTGGACAGAAGAAGTATTAACCGCCGGGGCGCTTCGTCTGGCGTGAAAGACCAGTTAGAGAGGATAATGGTGCATATGCCGAAGGGATGCGTGGCGTTACCAACGGTGCGCACTCTCTATTTCAAAGTTGTCATTGGCGCCTTAAGAAGGTAATTCTAGTTCTCCAGAAAAGCAACGTGAAAGCAGATGATGCTTGCAGCAACGGTGATGGTGAAAAGATTATTGAAAGGAGAAGAACCTCGCTACAGCCCGTTCTCCCTTGGGTGTAACTATATTTCTAGCTGTGCTCCTGTCGTGCTACACTTGAGACGGCGACATAGGCAAAATTTATCTCATCGAATATCATTTCATCCAGTTGGAATGCTCCTTTTTTTTGGAATCCATTATGACAGGTAATTGGCTGCGCGGGTCCTTTATTGAGTCCTGAGATTTAGGCGTAATCGATAAGCGGAACAGAGTGATCCACGCGCGCTATTAGTTGAGGACAACGAACTCAAGATCGACGTAGTCGGTCGTGATACCGTGAACACCAACCAAATAGTTGGGTGTCGGCAGATCAGCCACGCCAGAGATGGACTCGCATTCCGTAAATATCGGCTCAAATCGTCCAAAGTCAGCTGCAATCATCAAAGGTACCGTTCCTACAAACGCACAATCATTCAGGCTAAATACACTAAATGACTGAATACAATGACGGAGCCAGAAGCGCGGGATAACGTCCTTCGCTTGTTCTTCTCGGTTTATCATACAGTAAGCGAGAATTGAAGCCAGCACGCCTGATTAGACATCATGTTGATAGTTTGCCATCAGTTCGCCGTCGCGAGTTCGTCATGACCTGTTTCTTGCTGCGCGACGTCTGGGGGGTAAGTCGCATGGGATGGTGATTGCCAGAGAAGAGGCCATAATAATCATATTATGTATCGGTGAAGTGGGTACTCAGGTTAAAGCCTCCTCTGCCGTTACAACCGTCTCCCCTGCGGGTCTCTACTGGAGCTGGACCGTGGTCGATCGATCGCCGAGCTGTTGGCACGGTCTGACAACCCTAACAGGCAGGTCTTGACTCGTGAGGCCCGCCCCGTTGGTTCTGCCCAGGAAATTTAGCAGACATGAGTCAACAAAGATCCCGGCACGTCAGATAACGTGGTCTTTTGCGTTGTGGCTGGTTCCAGGGTTCCTGACCAGATGGCCATAGGAGGGCTACAGGGAGAAGACATATTGCGAACTGTTTAATCATCAAGATTCAATCAGAAGCCTACTCCATTTTCCAGACTGAACTCAGCGGGGCCTAGCTTGACAAAGACCAAATTGACAATGCTACTGCGGGTCATCCAAGTGAGCCACAAAATGGTCTCGACAAGCAAGTTAGGGGCCTGACTTCGCCGGTCCATCCCCAAGTTCAGTATGGTGTACGCGGGTAGATTCACCTGGATAGATAAGCTCGCTAAGCTTTGCGGCTGCCGGCCAAGCATTGGACTACGAAAAGGCTTCTTGGAAGCCACAAAGCTTATCAGTCGTCCGCGATTGATCGTCACAGCCCAGTCATGCTCAACCTCATCTATCAATATGGGGTAATGTGGTCCAGCAGATTACCACCTCGGGTGGGTTAGTCTCTCATCACGGCGGATCAGCGTTGCAACCATCATGTTCGAATAGAGGAGATGCATGGGGGAGGCAACGCGGCCTTCCAGTCGCGGTGTAGCAAAATGTAGCATTGCAGGGTATAGTCGCCCTTGCCGAGTGTTTGTGGTTTGTTCCTCGCCGATCACTGCTGCTGCATGGAGGCGATGGAATCGACGCCTGATCCTTGACATGGAGTGCGAGGTAACGGCTCGGCTTTCGGCATACTCCTCTGTGTTGACAATGACACTTAAGATATACTTGTCACTACTACTCTCCCTGCCTTGAGCGCAGGATCTTCACAGCCCTGCTTCTGTGAGTCTCCCTCTGGTTCTGACAGCTATTGGAAATCAACATGGATGCTCGACAACGACCTGGTTTCACACGCACCGATACCGATGGCATCCCGCTTGAACCGATCTCGCCTTCATCGTCCAGCGGCAATATCAAAAAGGACGCGAAGAGTCCCGGGGACTCCAAGGCCGACGGTGTTATTGATGTGAAGTCTGTTGACATCTTGCAGGAGAGTCTGCCTGCATACGACCCCGATAACGATGGTGTCGCTCATATCAAGGAGCCTGTGACCACCGCAGAGGACTTGGTCACTCAAGTCATTCATGTTCAGGACGATCCAAGTCTCAATCCATGGACATTCCGTGTTGCATTCCTCGGTAAGTGACCACTTATCATTATCTGTTTTCTGTGATAGCTTGGACACATCTTATTCTGACACATTCTCAGGATGTGGACTGTCGATTTTCGGCGCCGTGCTGCAGGAAATCTTCTTTTTCAAGCCGCAAACCATTTTCGTGTCCGTGGTCTTCTTGACAGTCATCGCATACATCCTCGGCGAAGCGATGGCAAGCATCATTCCGCGCAAAGGAGTCTTTCGCTACCTCAACCCCCATCCTTTCAACCAAAAGGAGCACGCAGCAATAACCATCATGGCATCGGCTGCCTCTCAAGCAGCACAATCCACACAAGCATTGGCTGCACAAGCCTTGTTCTACGGTGGTTTTCCAAACAAGGCAGCAGGCATCTTTGTCACAATGTCTTCGCAGCTGATTGGATTTGGCTTTGCTGGCCTGCTTCGTGATGTTCTTGTGTTCCCTACCAGGATGCTTTGGCCCATCAACTTGCCGGTTGCGACACTTCTCGAAACGCTACATCGTGATAAAAAGGAGACCAAGAGAAAGCTAAGGCTGTTCTGTATCGCCTTCTGCCTAATCTTCATCTGGGAGATACTACCCGAATACATTTTCCCTGTTCTCACTGGTGTGTCAGTGTTCTGCCTCGCCAAACAGGACAGTCTTGTCTTCACCAATCTTTTCGGAGGCGCGTCCGGGGATGAAGGGCTAGGATTTCTGTCACTCTGCCTCGATTGGAACTACATCATCGCCGTTTTCTCGCCGATGTGGTTCCCACTCAACTCATTGGTCAATTGCATGATAGGAATTGTCGGCTGTTACATTGTATTCATGGGCGTGTACTACGGAAACGTCTGGGGATCGTTCAGCCTCCCCTTCCTGTCGCAGGAACTCTTCAGCGAGGCATCAAACTCGACGAATTATGTCGTCTACAACCAGTCAGCTATTCTCAACGCGGACTTCACCATTGATCCCGCGAAGCTCGCTCAGGAAGGCTTGCCGCAACTGACGGGGACATACATTGTTTATCTCATCACCTCAAATATGGGCATGACTGCGGCTTTCACCCACATGTTCATCTGGAACCGTAACGATCTCAAGGCCGGCTGGGAATGGGCTTCGCCCTCCAACCTGCGAAAGCTGTTCCGGGCCAGCAGTTGGAAATTCTGGCAAAATCAGGAATCGCCCGAAGAGCGTCTGCAGCGCAAATACAACGATCCCACTTTGGATCCTCACTACAAGCTCATGCTGCAAAACAAATACCTCGAATCTCCTAACTGGTGGTGGGCTTCCGTAGCGCTGATCAGTTGGGTCGTCGGCCTTGGGTGTCTGTATGGCATGCACTCGACGCTGCCCGGCTGGGGATTCCTGCTCGCCGCCATCTTCACCTTTCTTCTTCTCCTCTTCCTGGGCGCCCAGATGGGCCTCACGGGCTTCCAGTTTAACGTCCAGCCGATTTGCCAGATGATCGCAGGGTATCTGTTCCCCCATAGGCCGCTTGCTAACTTGTACTTCACCTGCTACACTTTCAACACCCTCCAACAAGGGCAACTCCTCGCCAAGGACATGAAACTGGCACAGTATTCTCACCTTCCACCGCGGATCACATTCGTCGTCCAGGTCGTCGGGTGTCTCCTCGGAGCCCTCTTTAACTGGGTCATGATGAACGACGTCGTCGAGAACCAGCGACCGATCCTCCTCGCCATCCAGGGTTCCAACATCTGGTCCGGGCAAAACATTCAGATCTTCAACACCCTCGCCATTTCGTGGAGTATAGCCGACAAGATGTACAGCATTGGGGCAAAGTACCAGTGGGTGACCATCGCCTTCCTGCTGGGGTTCCTGGTCCCGCTGCCCTTCTGGCTCGCCCACCGCTACTTCAGGCCGTGGAAAGTCTTTTCGTACCTCAACACCTCCATCATCCTCTGGTACGTTGGGAACCTGTTCACGGGCATCAACTCGTCATTCACGTCTTTCTATCTCGTCGGGTTCATCTCGCAATTCTACCTGCGCAAATACAAGCCCCAGTTTTTCGTCAAGTACAACTACCTTCTGAGTGCGGCTCTCGACGGCGGAACCCAAGGTAAGTTAAGACGACTCTCTCTCTCTCTCTCTCTCTCTCTATCTCTCTGTCTGCCACATGTCCACGTCTCCCAGCTCACAAGCTTTGAACAGTGATGGTGTTTATCTTTACTTTTGCCGTCTTTGGCGGCAGTGGCAAGGCACACCCTTTCCCTACATGGGCTGGCAATCCTGACACCAGTGTGCACAATGTTGATTACTGCATGGTCAACCCTGCGAACGGCGGGTAGAGCTGCATGGCTGGAGTGCCGTAGTCGCAATCAAGTCGACTGAAGAAAGCTGGCATTCGTCATGGACAAGTCCTTCAAGTGGTAGATCATAGATGTAGCGATCCATCCGCTTCTGTCTATGGTACCTCCTTCCGGTCCCTCCCTCGTCATATTTCACTTTGCCAAGACCTTCCTCTTGTCCCTGGTAACTAGTCGACAGAAGGCATCCAAATTGTTTGCGTATTGGGCCCATTCAACGTTCAATATGACAGGACTGTCATGGGCCGCGTTCCCGTAATATTGTGCTCTTCGCTACCCTTGATCACTTGAGGACTGTTCTAAGCTTATGGGTCTCCCCACTAGACGGTTAGCTACTTCTCTCTGGGGAAAAAAGTGAGGCCGTGATCCTGTGGTACATAAGAAGTGTACCTCTGAGAATAAAGCGATGTCGGGGCTTGAGGCGGAGAACCAGTGTCGGCCATAATGGAAGCTGGCGAGCTCGGGGGGCTGATTTGAGAAGAGTTAGAAGGGCTTAAGGACGCTTTGGTCTGACCTCCTTTCGCTAGCATGAACAGGCCATTGGCAGCGTCACTGGCGTCGTGCACAGAGTCCATATTGCTGGTGGCAGTATCTTGTGGGTCAGACATTTCGCGAAACGGGTTGTTCTGATAGCTTGCAATAGCGTCGATGGCTGTGCGACGATGATTCGGGGGAAAGGTAACGTTGCGTGGTGAGAAGCTCGGGTTGGGGACCCTTTGCAAAGAGTCAAAGAGTGCTGGTGAGTTCGGGCTGGGGACCGGGAGCATAGACCCGCCACCGCCTGGAATCAGGTCAGTTCGGAGGGATGACTCGTTTGGCGTCTGAGGGTTACGACTGTCAAAGGAAGAAATGGGAGGAAGCGTTGGCTTGGCTACAGATGGCTGATATCCAGTTTCCCAACTTTCTGGAAGGTTCATACCGGGTGGGGGCCAAAGCTCAACATCATCAAACCATGCAGGACTCGGTGCTCTGGTCTGCCAGCCCAAGCCTTGAGAAGAAGTCAACCTGTCAGCGTGTGGACGGCCAGAGTAGGACGTAGGTTTCGCGGAAGGCCCATCGCTAGGGAACTGGGGAAGTACAATGTCGTCTAAGCTAGTGTGATATTTTTCGACATGCTTTCGGAGGGTGGCCTTGGAATTGAATCCCCGCCCAGCAAAATCGCAAGCAGGTTCATGACATCGGAATCGTTCTTCGTGGCTCGCTTCGTGGGTCGATCGTTCTGCCACGCTCGAAAATCCAGTTGATGCCCAGACACATCCGCGCCAGCGACAGAGGTATGCCCCAGAGCTGTGGCGAGTCCTAAATTCGAGGATTTCAGCGAAGCTGACACTGATTTCATCGTCCAGGCCAGATGATCCATGCGCCAGTAAACGCTCAAACTCTTCTTGAAAGCGATTGAACGCAAGGCTGAGTGATATTGGATCCTTCGAAATGTCTGGCGGGGCGGCTAGCTTCACGCAGACAGTGCCCGAATTGGGATCTGCGGGCCTTGCCCTCGTCCTCTTCTTGATGTCAATGTGACGAATAATAAGTTCCGGCAAGTCTTCAAGGGTCAAGTCTTGCGAATGCATTGCCACCCACTCGTAAACGCCGGCCTCTCGGTACTCTTCTTTTCCCCTGTACGACATAGTTGTCTGGAAGGTGTTCAGCAACGTAAGAAGAAGGTTTCGAATGTCCTTCTTTGCATAAACCAGTTCCTCTGAGACTGGACCTGGGATAACTCTGAAGGACTCGGTCAAGTGCATTGGCCAGAACTGATCCACGTACGGGAATATATCGTGAAATCCTTTCACGATATCGGCGCAGGTTCGAGGGGCCAGAGGTTCCACAGTAAAAGGCTCACAGGTTATCAGATATCGAATGCATGACTGCGTAATACTGAGATGGCATTCCTGACGGTCAAGATACGGACCACTGTGTTTATGCAAGAGATACCTGGCAAAAATCAGCGTCACATTGATCTCAGGTATGAGGACGCATACTCTCTTGCAGAGAAGTGCACCAATCGGACAGTGCGGTCTTCATGTTCCTCCAGAAGTGGTTTGCAAATATCCAGAACGCCTTTTTGAAGCTTGGTGCTGTCATTGAGCGAATGATGGTTCCGAAAAACGACGAGATCACACAACTCATGTACCTTCAGCGGCCGGTAAGAAAAGGTCAACCAGCCGAGAATGTGTTGCAGCTGGACTTTTTGTTGTCCCTTACAAGCCCCTTGCAAGCGTCTGAGTATCGAGGCATATCTGCGTGACAAATTTAGTAAGGACTAAGGGAATACGACTGGTTCGACTAACACTCCTGGAAGCTCCGACGGCAGTTCGTGCAATGTTTGTCTCAAGTCCTCTACACTTTGCTGTTCAAGCAGCATGTCTAGGACCAGTTGCACCCAGAGAAACATTCCTGTGTCGAAGTCAGTAAGTGTGGTTAGCGTACTCATAGAACCCACCGTCAGCTTTCTCCACCACGAGCTGCTCGATCTCGTCAACCACCGAGCCACGAAAGCGGCTCCTCAATGGAAGGAGACTTTCTTTAGCAAATACAGTGATATCTCTCGACATTCTGACCTTTTCCTTGGTTAAAAAGACCTGGGGCGCTTTTTTAAGACTCGACACAATTTCCTTTGTTTCTCGCGAACAAACGAGGATTTTGACGACCGGAAGACTTTCATCAGAGTTCTTGTTTGGTAGCAGAAACGTGCGCAGATCTGACAAAAGTTGTCGTTGGTGGCTACCGTCGCATTCGTCCAAGCCGTCAATGACGAGGAAAGAGGGACCGGAAGCCCAGAGAAGCTCTTTTAGTAGGTCTCTGCTCCTTGTGGCCGAGGGTACAATTCCAGTCTTCGCGAAATTGTCGTAGACGTGTGGGAGAAGGCTGTGGTCTTTCCTTATGAGTTGCGCAATGAGAGAGCGGAATACCAGCCCGCAAACACTGGCTTCAGATCTTGCAAAGCCATAGGAGCATAGACAGTAGAGCATTATGGCATTTGGTGGAATCGGGGCATTCTCGTAGAGAAAGGTCGCGAGGGTAGTTTTCCCTGCAGGCGTGTGGTCAGTGATCGGCTTACTACCTAGACGGCCTTGTAAAATGTGGTCCGTTCGGACGAGGGCACATCCCAAAGCGACGTTGAGATCGCTTCCCCTCTAGAAACTTGCTGAAATGGTGCTCTTTTTTGGGAGAAGCCACAATGCTAACGAAGGTAAAGGCATATGAGATGCTCACCTGAGCCTGGTTTCCCACGCAGCCAGAGCTGAGGCCGACCATCTTCGGGATCAAGCCATGAACGAATAGCGGAGTTTTCCAGAATCCATGCGCAAGTATCAGGATTACGGGCCCTAGATCGGCACTCGAATAAGTCGTCTTGTTCGCGGTCCTGGCCCTTGAGGTCGAGCCACGCCAGGGTATCGCGTAACTGCCAATCCTGTCGTTCTTGCTCCGAGCGTTCAATGTCTTCAAGAACCTGTTGGCGAAAGGCTTTTGCTTCGAGAATAGCAAAGCTGTGTGCTTCCTTGTCGATAAGATCCCGACCTCTCGCTAGTCTTTGCAGGATCGCGTTGAAGCGGCGAGAGAAACCACACCAGGACGCATCGAACAAACATTTCCACCCTAGCCGAGTAATTGAGCATCAGCGTCTTGTATATACTGACGAGGCAAAGAAGCTCACCTCCACGCCGCAGATATTTGTACGCATGAGAGTGGAATTCGAGGATGTCACTGTAGATATCGGCGAGAACAGCTTGAAAGTCATCTTGGTCGTTGAATGCAGCAGCGAAGCGGCCGAGACGGGGCAGGTTCTGCCCTATTTGACGATAGGCATCGAGAAGTCCGTCGAAGGCATTGGTGTACTCATCGGCGATTTGCAGGAGGAGCTTGATAGGAGCCTTCTGATGTATCAGTCCATGGTATTGTCAGCAAGGAGCGGGACATTGAACTACCCAAATGAAGCACAAATATGGAGTCCCTTGGCACAAGGTTTCGATGGCGCCGCCTAGTAAGTGTAACGCGTCAAAGAGGGGCTCAATGCGTCTCATGTTTCGCATGCATCTCCTTTGCGACTGATCACGCTCGATGATGCGCGCAGCTTCTCGCACGTCTGCGAGGGTGGTTGCTCTGAAAAGCCGTGCATCGTTCGCTCCAACAAGAGCCTCAAACTTTGTGAAGGCTTCCCTCACGATGCGATGAGGCTGGCTTCGTTCTCCGTCACGAGGCATGGCGTAAAAGGTGTCGCAGGAACGAACAGGTCGACGGAAGACGGTCGTGGTAAAGCATGTGAATGCGCCTTCTTATGACAAGGGCGGTGTCCTCATGACCAGAGCCGTGCTACCAGTCAGGTGGCGGTCAGGTCGCGGTCAGGTCGAAAAGATCGGGCTGCGCCTTGGAGGGAGGCTGAGGCGCAGAAGTCTGGGCAAACCAGAATCTCGCAGCCTCACTTTGTGCAGGAAGTTCCCTTGAACCTCGAGACATCAGCACAGCCTTGCACAGAAATGTCTACATACCCTCGTTGACCACGTCTGCATTGGAAGACCAACTAGAACGTCAAAGGACAAGGAATGTCGATGACTGCCTGCCTTTCGACACCAGGAAGGTGAGTTTCAATGCCCCAGCATTTGGTCAAAAGTCTCACAGCGCGCCCCAGCGAACCTGTATCTCAGACACGATCAGTCCACGGCCCTCCCTCATGGCGTTAGAATGGTCTTCCACGGCCCATGGAAACAAGAGACGGAAGTTGGACAATTGGGACTACGAACAATCCTCTTTGACACCCTACAAATACAACCCTGTTGCAAATTCTTCGCAGGCGTGCTTGCCCCATGATGTATATGAGCAGAGCTACAGAACGCCATGCAGGTCAGGTGTTGGACATGTGTCTGATCTCACTGACATACAATCTACTACGGCTTCAAGAAGCTTTCCCCAGCCTCATCCGAGTGTGCACATGGGGGACCCTATCAACACCGTTCGAACACATATAGCTGCAGCCGAGCGGCACTTATCTTACCATGCTGGCATGAGCGCGTCAGCCACATTTACCGCCTCTAGCGAATTCACCGTCAGCCAGCGGGCTCTCTCCACTGATCCCTCCGACGTTCTGGGCGAGGATAGCAATGTGGACCAGGAATGCATCGAGTCAATATCACACATGACCATCTGCTACGGCATGTTGTGCAATATCCAAGTTGAGCTTCTAGTATCCGCCTTGTCTTTAATGGAATGTCAAGCCTTGTCCTGGGACGGCCCGGACGGTGCCACAACACTACGGAACCCAACTGGTGAACTCGAAGTTGCTAAACTCTCTGCAATCACTGCACAGGTGCTGCGGACATTATCACTCGAAGCAGGTGCTGAATTCCAATTCTGGCTCTCACCGCAGCAGCAACCCGGTCAACAGACAACTTACAAGTCTGGGGAAATGGAAATCAAGGGGAGCGTGCGCGCAACTCGATCCTTGTCAATTATTGTGTACGGACCGAACAACATGGCAACCCGTGTTGGTGACTGGCTCGATGGCTTGAAGATGTATCTTCAAGTGCCCGGAGGATGCGATCGAGATGTTCCGTATATAAACCCCCACTGCCTTGCTTCAAACCAGGTGTCTACAACATACACTCGTCAGCTTGCGGCCGATCTGAGCATGGACGAGCCGGAAAGTCAAGATTCTCATAGGGATCTCTTCTCTGATCTTTATACCGACTCGGTCTTTGACCTAGCACCCCAACCGTACGCCATTGCTTCTTCGCTTCACAGCCACCAGAGACAAGCCTTGACCTTTATGATCGAACGAGAGAACGGGTGGAACTTCTCTGGAACGCGAAATGATATATGGAGATCTCACATTGACGCGTTCGGTGTGCGAAGATACAAAAATACGGTATGCGGATTAACTCAAACACGGGCCCCAGAGAGCTTCCGAGGCGGAATCATTGCAGACGAGATGGGTCTCGGGAAGACGTGCACGATGCTCGCATTGATAGCGGCGAACCCGTCCCAATATAACTTCTCAACGGGCCGTTTCGATTGCGTCAAAAGCACATTGGTCGTTGTCCCTGTTCCGCTCCTGTTCGTGTGGGAGAAGCAGATTCAGGAGCATTTCCGGCGTGGCTGCGTCCGACACACGATCTTCTATGGTCCCGATCGCCAGCAGAACGCTAATTTCCAGGACCATGATATTGTCGTCACAACCTACACGACCGTCTTGTCGGAGTGGAAGAACCGTAGAGTATCCCGGTCTCAAACAGAGTCCAGCCCCTTGTTCCGGACATTCTGGCACCGAATTATCCTCGATGAAGCGCATGTCATCCGGACAAAAGAAACGATATGTGCAAAGTCGATATATGCTTTACAAGGGGAACGCCGATGGTGCATCACTGGGACCCCTCTCCAAAACCGATTGACGGATATCTTTTCTCTTCTCCACTTTCTGAAGGTGCATCCTTACGACAATATGCTAACCTTCCAGGAACAAATTCTCCGTCCATGGAAGTCGCGCATGGATGAAGATGCTTTGAAGAGGCTTCAATCGATCTGGAAAGTGATCACCATTCGTCGAGGGCGGAATGTCATTGCTCTGCCAGATCGAATAGTGCACACGGAAGAGGTTTGTTTCACGGAAGATGAGCGTGCTCTCTATGAAAGGGCGCGGACCGGTGTGATCGAAGTTCTGAACAACGCCATGGATATCGACTCATCGACATCCGGATCGGTGTACTTGAATGCACTCCAGAGAATCAATGATCTCAGATACATCTGCAACCACGGCGTCACCCCACCACGACGCCGTGAACATCTCGAACCAATGCAACCCTTGGGAGAAGTACTCTCTCCTCTTCTGGACGAAATGTTTGAAAAGGAGGCGGAGACTATGAACCCGCTATGCGGTCATTGTGGCGCCGACCTGTTGTGGGAAGAGGAAGACAGGAGCCGATTTCTCCTTACACCCGACATTTGCTACAATTCCTCGTCGTCTCCAACCTGCAGGAGCTGCCTGCAGTACGAGCCGCCGTCGCTTTCACCATCAGGTTCGAGTTTGTCTTCTGGCGTTTGGTCACCAACTAGGCTGATCAATTCGATGCGGCCATCAAGCAAGATCAAAGCCCTGGTGGGCCAGATCCAGCGACTTCCTCTCAATGATAAATGCATCGTTTTCTCATACTGGACTTCGAGCCTGGATGCCATCGAGGAAGCGCTGAAGCAGGCGCAGATCAAATTCTGTCGTTACGATGGTAGGCTGAGCCAAACACAGCGCAGTCAGGTTCTCAATTCCTTTACGAGCGATGCTTCCTTACGGGTGTTCTTGTTGTCGATAACGTGCGGAGGAGAGGGACTTGATCTCACCGCGGCAAACCATGCCTTCCTCCTTGAGCCGCAATGGAACCCCATGCGGGAAGAGCAGGCCATGGCTAGAGTGCACCGACTCGGTCAGAAGAAGACGGTCCGCTTAGTCCGCTTGGTGGTGAAGGACACGTTTGAAGAGAACATCATCAGGCTCCAAGGGCGGAAACGAACATTAGCCGATCTCATCGTCGACCGGGCTCCGCTGCAGGAGGGAGCTGGTGGAAAGAAGCAGTTGTATTATCTGCGTGAGTTGGTAGTGTAGAATTGCACACCGTAGAATAGTCAGGATCGTAAATCTAGAGACAGGGCTTGTTACGTGATGCTGCGATATTCTCCCTCAGTCTAGCCATTTTCGCTGCTGCTGAGCGCAAAGACGCAATACACATAGACCGGCCGTCCAGATGGTCCGTTGTCAATGTGCTTGTAGAAGAAAGACGTATTTACTCTGAGCCCATGTACTAATGTGTTCCCCTGATTGGTGTGGAGTTTGTCCCCTCGCTTCAGGAGAACTAATTGTACCATCACTCCCTCTCCTCACCCTCACACTCACCTTGGCTCGGCTTTCTTCGATTCTATATTATAATGAGCCATCCTCAACTAGACAAGAAGAGGCCGACCGCCGATACTATCTATACCGTGGGCAAGTAGTCCTTCGCAACTTAGTGGTGCTGGGTGGAAGGAACCAAAGACGCTGACGTAGCGCGTTGCACAGTGATCATTTAGACAAACTGCGTGTATAATCAACTATGCTATCGCCGCAGGGCGGCTAGCACATTTCCTGGATTCATCTCCGCAAACAAGCGCGGTTGTAATCTCGCGAAACATTTCCAGTGTCCATCGTTGCTGCTTTCCTCCCCTATCTTGCATTGAGCCTGCAGCTTTGGAGCCCGCGAGCCCGAATGCATTCCCAGCGCTCCTGGATTTATATATCTTCGGCACGGCAGTCACGGTAGTTGATCCCTCATCGAGTTCGAGCCCTAGCCGTTTGGTCGCTTGATCGCCTCGGAGGGAGCAACAAGTTGGGGAAGTAAGGAAAGAGTGCCCTCTTTCGCTACCGGTCTGCGTCTCGAAATCTCTGTTGCCCGGCTTGCCCGGTCTCGGAGCGTGAGGCCTCAAGATCGGGCTTTCGTAGAACCAGTTGATCACTGGACTCTGCATCGCACGTGACAATGCCTCTCACCTTCCCTTGACTCTTCCCTTTCTCTTGACTCACCCAGTAAGCTGCGATGTTGTGCAAAGGTATCGTGCAAGTGCTCCTCGTCAAACTGCAAGCCCTGGTTCACTCTATCCGAGGTGACGCATTCAGGGGGTGTTGCCAAATGTCCCTGCGGTGTGCAGCCTCTCAGATCATTGGTTCCACTTGATGAGTGTTGCTACCAGTCATCAGTCTTTGACTGTGAATGTACCCTCAAGTTTGGGGAAAGCCTGCAAGAAGCAGGTGCCCAGGCTCCAGTTGTCCAAATCACTGATGTGCCTCTCAAAACTCGGCTTGATCCTTACCGCTGCTTCGTCGATATCGGCTGATAGACAATTTTCACCGGTCCAATTGAGCGACAGCTTCAATGTGTAAGGGAGGAAGAAGTCGTGTTGATGGAAACTCTGATAGTCCCTGATCATGACTTCCCTCATCTCAGGCCAAGGGACTAAGGTCATCCATGGCGGGTGGGGAATTTGCAGCTGGCAGGGCCGCGGTCGAAGCCAGGGTACAATCTGAAGGTAGTTCTGCTGTGTGGGATGAATTTGCCACTGTGCAATGTGTCAGTTATTATTCCTTCTAAGGAGTATAAGAAGAAAACGGTGGCATCATCTGACCCTCAAGAGATGGTGGAATGTCCAATGCACCGCAGTCTTCTCTGGGATTCCGCGAATGACATCGAACTTCGCGTTGATGTCTGATATGACTCTTGTCAGAGCATGTAGGGGCCAGCAACTTGTCAAATCCGACAACCTGGCCAGGTTTGGTGCGGGGGGGCCAGATCCTTGTTCATAGTGGCCCATTGCGACCATTGCGCGCTGGGAGCTGAGGAAGTTGAGGAGTATGGTGTCGAGCGCGCATGTGGACTCGCAGAAGATGGGCGTTTCCATGAGCATCTCTGCTGTTCCAGCTGTCATTTGAATTGATGCTAGCGTCGTGCCTGGCGATGGGGGAGAGCGCCCATGCAACTGGCCGGACGGACTGGATACCTGGCTCATTGGAGGAAGTCGAAAACTGCTGACCAGGGGATCAAGAGGCCTGTCCTGTGCGGCGTTGGGAACTACTCTGCTGCTTCCAGGAATAGTGTATAGGCTACTGTCAAGGTCCAGTCCAGAGCGCGTAAACGTGAATTGAGGTTCATAGGGTCTGGTCAACATCCTGAGGGTGTTGAGGATCCGCTCGAGCTCCTGGTTGAGATGATCGGCCTTTTCCTGGGCTGCTCGCTGGGCGCTTTGTGCAGCCTGTAGCTGTAGCCTCAAATGAGCAGCGGCGCTCTTGCAATCGGCGATTTCGGTCTCTTGCTGCGCGATGGTGTCCTTGGTTCGCTGACGAAACGCTTGTTGGGCTGCTCGATCTTGGACTCGCTTCCTCTCCAGCTGAGCTCCCACGCGTGTGTACTTTCGGCGCCGCTTTTCATTGTGCTTCTCTGCCCCAGCTTCTGTCGTCATTTCAAAGTATTGAGAGCGGGAGTCATGTCCCTTCAGTATGCACTTGAGCTGTGTATAATGCGAAAGGCGGAGAGCCTGTCGAAGAGCAAAAGAGGCAAACCGTGCGGGGAGGCCTTATGACGGCATTGACTTAACAGAGTGTCTATTGGTTCAACGCAGTTGCCGCTATAAGAGATCTCGCAGGAGCAAACAGAGCAAATATTTGTCTTGGCGATTGGTCTACATCATCCGCTTCGCAGACGGACGCGATGCATTTTGTCATTCTACAAGTTGTTGTTTTTTTTTGGCCTGACCATGGCAAGAGTTGAATGTTACTCGCATTGTTCCGGGTATACCAGGTCGCAAGAGTGTATCGACCGTCTCTCTTGCTCGTCTCTATGTTGCGTCTCTGGGTCTCAAGCGTGGCTACGTTACAACGAGCCCACCGTCCACAGGCAACGCAACTCCAGTAATGTGGCTCGATAGTCCGCTGGCCAAAAAGCAGACACTGTCCGCCACTTCCTCCGGACTCGCTAGTCGACCTTGCGGAATCCTGTCGATTGTGCTTGCTAGTGCCTTTTTCGTCGAGTCAATCAACAATGGGGTGTCAACGAATCCGGGGCAGACCGCGTTGACGCGGATGCCTCTCTGCGCATAGTCGATGGCATCGGTCCTGATCAGCCCCAAGACAGCATGCTTGGTCATATTATAGACGCTCAAGTTGGGCATGGCTCGCAGGCCCAAGGTCGACGATGTCACGACAATAGAGCCCCGCTCCAACACCCCTGGGACGTTCTCGTTGACCTGTCGAGGCTCTTGCTTCAGCATTTGTTCTAGCTCATACTTCTCGCAAAGCCAGACGCCCCTGGTGTTAACGTCCGTTACCCGATCAAAGTCCTCGATGTCGGTCTCACTGGTTGGTCCGAAAGGTCGCCCTATGCCAGCGTTGTTGGCAGCATAATGAATCGCTCCAAACTCCGCAACGGTCTGAGCGACAGCGCCCTTGACTGCCGACTCAGATGTTAGATCGGCTGTGATGGGCAAGAACTTGATGGCCGGGTATGATTTCGAAAGAACTGATGCCGTTTCTTGCAGCCCTTTGCTGCTGACGTCCAGGCCCGCGATCCTGGTCACGCCATGTCGAGCAAATCCCAGTGCTACTGCTCGCCCAATGCAGCCTCCCGCACCAGTGATGAAAGCGACCCTGTCAAGTTCAAGTGTTAGCTGTACGACGAAAGACAACGGGATGGAAAAATCCGGCCATGTGATCACTTCTGGGGGAGAAATCATGATTTCCGAGGCCATTGCTTCATACCCTGATAGCCGCAAACTCATTGCAAAGAACTTCTCGCACTCCCAAAGACTGCAAATCGATCGACAGATGCGCCCAAACTTGATCAATTTGCGGGGAAGAGATCTAGCTTTTGGAGTTGTTTTTGTAGTTCTCAATCTCGCCGTCGGAGTCGAAACCAAGGTTGGGCGACGAAACGCCAGCGCAGCGAGCACTGGACTAGTATTCTCTTGAACCTCGCTCAAAAGCAGTAAGGCTGAAAATTGCCGGCAGATAAAAAGATTACCACGGAATGACTTCCTGGGATGGACACGGTGAACGCGGTGGACATACTAGGCCGGACCATTTTAGCTGCGGATCGACTTCGGAATTGTTTGCATTCAAAGTGGCTAGCACTGGGTCCGCGTCCTCGGTAGTCCTGTTTCGCCTGAAGTTACGGTTGATATTCATGAAGTTCCTATTCGAACGCTGTTCGTAAGATGGAGCACATGCTCAAAACTACCTTGCCAAATCCTCAGCCTTGCAGACTCCCCATCCAAATGGCAGTCAATGGACATCATGCCTCATATCAACGACCTGGCTACCCTCCTCAATCATCCCACGCCTTCAAGAACTCTTTAGCCTGAGTCATCTCCCTTCTTATAACGTCGACATGTGCCTGACTTCTCGGCTTAAACACAACGGGAAATTCAGCCGGCGTATGTGAGATGCCCTCGTGGTACTTGTTTACATCGATTGGCATAGCTTTACCTGTCTTAGGATCGATCTTCCGCTGTATGTCGAACGCCCACAGCAGTCTTGCATTCAGACGCCACTGGGTCCTCTCGGCGAGGTGGATTCCTGGACAAATGCGTCGGCCTGCACCGTAGCCGTAGTGGTCGCGATTTGCGAAGTCGGGACTGCCGGCGTAGCTGTCTGCGAACTTGGTGAAACCCAAGAATCTGTCTGGGTTGTAGACTTCGGGGTCCTTGTAACCTTGCATCTCGCTCAAATGCATCGCCCACGTGGGGAGGATGACGGTGGCGTCCTTGGGTATCAGCATGCCATCATACCAGTCATCCTGGTTGACACGGTGAGGGACACCAAGTGGAAGTCTGTGAGAATGGAGATTAGGTTCGCGTGTACTCTGATAGATCTGTCAATGCGCGAGACTTACACTGGGTGGATTCTCATTGCTTCCTTGATCAAGCAGTTGATGTACGGTATGGCCTCGAAATCGTTGATTGACGGCAATCTAGTCCACAAGATTAGCTCGGGGGGGACCATTGCCGTAGGATACTCGCAGAAGAGTGTTACTGACCTGGTTGTGCCACAGACGGCGTCCAATTCTTTACGGGCCTTCTGTTGAAATTCTGGGTGCAGGGCCAAATACATCATCGAGGTCAAAGTAGCCGACGCAGTTGTATCTGCTCCCCCTTCAACAATGACGCCCAAGAAGTGATTCATCTGCTTGTACGTGACGTCTAAATCGCTGTGCTTCTCGCCATCGAGGATCGAATCAATGATGGCGTTGCGCGAGATGCCCTGCTTTCGTCGGGCGTCGACTCGACGTCGGGCCTCGTTCCAAGTATCGTCCATGCATTTGTATGAGCCCCTTGCACGCCTCTTCCAGGGACTGAGGCTGTCAGGCAAGTATTTCAAGAATGGAAACTCATCCACTGGTGGATTGGCTCCTGGTTCTAGTGACGCAGAATAGTTGTCCATTGCATCGTAAACGGCCTGGGAAACATGATTAGAATGGGATTCAAGCGAGAAGGCGGACAGTTTGATTCTCACATGAGCCCAGAAGTCGTCAAATGTGGGACCTCGGTGACCAAACGTTACTGCACTGGCCACGGAAGCCGTGGTTCGCTTGATGTGATTGTAATAGCCCTCGGGCTTCTCTAGAATGTCTGCAAGAAGGACCACAGACCTGCAGCAAGGTCAGCATGACTTCCTATGCCTGTGCCCAACAGGCGGTGTTGCACATACTCAGCGTCTTGGATATGCCCAACCTTGTCTTCGAGCATTTTGGGCTACATCTGGATCAGAATCTTTGCTCAGAAGCGTACTGAGTCGACACGCACCGACAGATTGTGGACCGCCACCTTCCGTTCAGCTCTCCAAAGGGATGTGCTGTTCATGAAGGCAAAGCTATCACCACCAGTGACAAGTGAGGGAACATAGCTTTGCGGCCGCTCAGAGTAGATGATTCCTTTCTTGTCGAGCAGGTGGTTGATGGCCTTGCGATCAAACAGAACAATGACCGTTCCCGCGCCAAACTTAAGAGAATAGATGCCGCGGTAAGCTTCGCCCCATTCTTTCAATCTACCACACAATATTTCAGTTCAATCCGCCAACAGAGGGAAGTCGACGAGTAATATGCCTACTTCTTTCCAAGACCCGATTTGGGAACCAGATGCAGATTTCCCAAGATTGGAATTGTAGGAGGCCCAGGAGGATATCGCTTGTCTCGACTTCCTATGCGTAAAATTGTAAAGAAGGCCCAAGCCAGCACAATGCCCAGGACTGCTCCTGTTACCGGCGTCAAACGGAGTTCAGAAAAGCCATTGAGCTCAAGCATGATGAATATAGGCTGCAGCTTTCAGCTTCCTGCGACAAGAGTAACCCTCGTGTTCCAGGCAGAGTCTGAGCCTCTAGATGGATGGTCTCACCTCTTTCAACTTACGCCATGGTGGTATCACGACACTAAATCCAGTTAGATCTTGATTCGGCCAAAAGCAACGCTGGAGTCCGTACTTGTGACACTGACAGCACCCAGGAAATACCCCAGAGTTGACCCAGATTCGGGGTCAGAGCCAATTCGGGGCTTCGGACTGTTTCTCGTCGCACGGTGGCAGTCGTCGCGACCCACGGAGCATCTTTTCTCGGATTTACAGTCTTATTCCTCGACACTCGCCTAGCCGGACGAACGTGACACATACGCCACCTCAGCAGCAGCAAGCGAAGCATACGCGGCAACCGTCCCCGCGGAAAGAGCATGTACGGTGCTGAAGATGGAGACGCGGAGAGGCCCCTTCGGCAGCTGCATTTAGATCATTCATATGAGAAGTCCCAAAGTCCCAAAGTTTGAGCGGCCTGAACGGACTACACTCCCTCTGAATCACTGCCCTGGCAGCTGCGTTCAAACAACAGCAACAACAACAACAATGCCGGATTTCTTTGTCCTCGCACGCGTTGTCGGCTCTGATGGGGCATTTCCCAAGGTGGGCCATATTCTATCATTTGCGGTGGTATGCCTCATCTAAACATACCATTGTTGTCGCAGTGGAAAGAAAGGCTGGTCCCATTATGCGAGGTCTCTGCGACAGAGCCATATTCCACGTCGTACTATTGGGGACAAGATGTTGACGGCGAGCCGGATACGTTGTGGGGCCTAGAAGGTTACCAGCATCCCATCGGGTTCTTTATCGGTCATCCTGCGTCAGACGTGTTCAAGCGCGAAATGCAGAAGGTCGATGAGGACAAACTCTTGCGGCACGTTCAAGGATTGGGCAGTCCCGACTACGACCTTCACTACTACGATATGCACCATGGCTTTTTGACGCGATCTGACGACAAGGATAAGGACGCGAAGGACAGTTTCGTGGTTGTCGTCCATTTCTGGGCGCCGGAAGGTCGTCGAAAAGAGCTTCTGGGGACTCTCTCATGCAGCGCCGATCGAGTCAAAGCCTCCGAGACTTCATCGGTTACAATTCAAAGTTTTGCGGTCCTCAAGGAGTGCTTGGATGTGAATATGGCTAGTCTTTATATCCGGTCAGTACGC